GGCGTTGTTGGTAATGAAAGAGCTGATAGACTAGCAGGCACTGCATTAATTGAAGATGGCCGGCGCATGGATCACGCAGACATTGTCATTGCTTTTAGAGAGATAGGACGTTCTGAGGATTTTGGAAGCAACATGTCCACATCACTCCTAAGAATTCGCGAATTGGGAGTAAAGGTCGGCGCAGCCAAGCATGAGAAGCACACTGGACGCACACGAAGTCTTGGTAACCAACATAGGACTAGTACTATTAACCGCACGACGCTGATGAATATGTTAAGAGGGAAATCTATGGGTGTGTCCGGAGTGCTGTGAAGATAATCGAACTCATAAAGACCCAAGCTCCTATGTCAACCCAGCCTTAAATGGGTACTAGCACTGTATATGTTATACCCTATAGTTTTGCCATATTTTATTCTTTGCACCTTAGTTACTAGTGTGTAGCAGTACGCCAAAAGCCTGTATAAATTTGGTTTAATTACGATGCAAGTGAACACAAATCTGGCAAGCCGGGAGATCAGGAGTAGATAAAAGACCGAGAAGTTCTCTTTATCTTCCGCGAAGATTGCCTTGTGCAGTCGCTTGTGACTTAGTCTCTCTGTCCTATTTTTGTCATTTACATTGCCAATTTCCCTGCATGCATTAAAACTTTCTCTTTTTTTTCTTCTTCTCCTTATCATATAAGTCGTCCCCCCAAGGGATGCAATTTGTCGTTATTTTGACGCTCCACCCTGGCTACTGCTGGAGGCCCTAATATAACCTAGCTGTGGCCGGGGACCCTAATATAACCTAGCTGTTGCCAGGGGATCTAATATAACCTAGCTGTGGCCGGGGACCCTAATATAACCTAGCTGTTGCCGGGGGCCCTAATATAACCTAGCTGTTGCTAGGGGCCCAAATATAACCTAGCTGTTGCCGGGGGCCCTAATATAACCAAACACTTGAACTGGGTTTTTGGGACCTCCCCATGGGGGATTTTCATCAACATGGTGGCACTGTGTCACCGGGTGTTTATCGCTCTCTGTGATGTCCTGGTGGGGTACAATTTTCTTACTTAATTACTTTCTTCTTCTGCTGATGCTTCCTATCACAACATAACTGGCACAAAGAAACCAGACCACAATTATAAATAATCCTGCTCGCAGTAGGTTAAACGTGGTCGATTTTTTTCCCCATAAATGGATTGAGGGCTGACCATGCATCATGTGACTGCTCCGGTCTGACCCGATGGGAAGAGGTAGAGCCTCTGGACAAGGAAACAAAGGTGAAGACAAAACAATGTGTAGTGTACAATTATATTTAACTGACCGAGAAGGCTAACTTGGGCAATAAATGCCTGACGAAGTCGTGATCTGAAAAGTGCTACTATTGCAGCCATATTGCAAAGAGCACAACACAGTATCATCCTCAGATGAATGCAGAAGAGGCCATCACTGGTTATTGGCATCAGGTGGCCTGCGATTGCTGGGGCATACTGAGAGAATGGCAGATAATAGAGACAAAAATTTCCAACACAAATGAACTGAATGGAATTAGACCACAAGGCAGACCAAGGCGGAGATAAATTGTACAAACAGATCTACAAATGCCTGAAGTCACCAACTGGAAAGCGAATACAAGTATATTGCAGACCAAGGCGGAGATAAAATGTGCAAACTAGATCTACAAATGCCTGAAGTCACCAACTGGAAAGCGAATACAAGTATATTGCATACCAAGGCGGAGATCAAATGTACGAACAGATCTACAAATGCCTGAAGTCACCAACTGGAAAGCGAATACAAGTATATTGCAGACCAAGGCGGAGATCAAATGTACAAACAGATCTACAAATGCCTGAAGTCACCAACTGGAAAGCGAATACAAGTATATTGCAGACCAAGGCGGAGATCAAATGTACAAACAGATCTACAAATGCCTGAAGTCACCAACTGGAAAGCAAATACAAGTATATTGCAGACCAAGGCGGAGATCAAATGTACAAATAGATCTACAAATGCCTGAAGTCACCAACTGGAAAGCGAATACAAGTATATTGCATACCAAGGCGGAGATCAAATTTACGAACAGATCTACAAATGCCTGAAGTCACCAACTGGAAAGCGAATACAAGTATATTGCAGACCAAGGCGGAGATCAAATGTACAAACAGATCTACAAATGCCTGAAGTCACCAACTGGAAAGCAAATACAAGTATATTGCAGACCAAGGCGGAGATAAAATGTACAAACAGATCTACAAATGCCCTGAAGTCACCAACTGGAAAGCGAATACAAGTATATTGCAGACCAAGGCAGAGATAAAATGTACAAACAGATCTACAAATGCCTGAAGTCACCAACTGGAAAGCGAATACAAGTATATTGCAGACCAAGGCGGAGATCAAATGTACAAACAGATCTACAAATGCCTGAAGTCACCAACTGGAAAGCAAATACAAGTATATTGCAGACCAAGGCGGAGATCAAATGTACAAACAGATCTACAAATGCCTGAAGTCACCAACTGGAAAGCAAATACAAGTATATTGCAGACCAAGGCGGAGATCAAATGTACAAACAGATCTACAAATGGCGGAGATCAAATGTACAAACAGACCTACAAAAGCCTGAAGTCACCAACTGGAAAGCGAATACAAGTATAAAAGGAACCATTTCCACGCCTTTAGGCGTATTGGGCATATAATGCCAGACCAATATTTTTATAGACCAATCAGCACTTGGTGGCTGATGTGGTCAGCATCACACCGGCCGCCTTTACTTCCAAGGACTGCACCCGGTACCCACTCAAGCCTGGGTCGACCTAGGAGTCAAGGTCATTTCTGAAAAAAAAAAGTATGGCTTCGTCAGGGCGCGAACCCACGACCTTCGGATCCGCAGGCGGAAATACAAGTATCACTAAGTGGAAAGAGAAGGCCAACCAGAGAGATAAATGGAAGGCGGGTAAAATCTGCAGCAATGAACCTCAAGGGTGCGGAATGGTGAAGAAGAGAGTTTTTGTACTATATATTTCAATCAGGTGCCTTCTTCACAGTGTAGGTTGACTGCAATGGGTCTTCAAAACAGTCTCTCTCTTGTCCTGGTTGTACACTCTCAGACTGCTACCCGTCCATCTCTTGATGCTGTCCTCCCACTTGTATCAATGCCTACCTCTTGCTTTCGACCTTTCCATCCTGTATGGTTTTTGAAAGTGTGATATGTCTCTTAATGTGGCCAAAGTATTTCAACTGTCTCTCTCTTTTTCATTATTTTATTTCTCTCAGTAATTCTCTTTTCATTTGCAGCCTTTTCAAAACCTCTGTATTGAGCTGTTTGTTTCCATAAAATAGGACCTATTCTCCTGTATAACCACATCTACAGAGACTCAAATCAATTTTCTAGTTGCTTGTTCACTGTACATTGCATGTGCATGAATGTTTGTGTTCAAAGTAATATGTGTGTGTATGTATGTGGCTGTATTTGTTTTTACAAGCTTTATATGACCACGTGTATTAATGTCATTGCATGTATGTGTCTGGATGCCACTGCATACACATCTGCTCCCTCTCTCTCTATATATATATAAATTATTATACATAAATAAAAACACTGCAAACAGGATGGATTCATCCACGCTTCTGCGAGTTTACCCAATACTAATGTATGTTGCTATATAACATGGCTGATAGATATAACTGCTATATAAAAGATGAGTGGTTGAAAGGGCCAAAGTGGCCTGGGTGCCCTATTTGGTACCAGTTTTGTTAATCCTGTTTTGCTCGATGAAAAAAGTCTAAAGACGAAGAGAAGTAAACAATGAGAAATAGAACAAAACGAATATGAGACTGTATAGATACGAACAGTGTGTGACAGGCAATATGCAACCATAAACACAATTAAAATAAGAAAAAAAAGAAACCAAGAATTGGAAATATAAAACAATGTCATTAGTTTAATTATGTCCAGTTAGTTTACACCCCCAGCCAGGCAATAAACAATTATACCAAGCTTACTTGCAAACTAACAGCACAGTCGATCCCATGTGACAGCATTTGTGCCACACACACACACACGTACTACACACGATCAACTCTACACAGGTGCATCACTAACAGTGCTCTCCAAACCAGACACAGGAGATCTTGTAAGTTTTTCTACTTCACTCATACACAGCTAGAAAATAGCACACTCATTGGGTTCAGGGAAAGAGGGGTAATGGAATTCAACACTGACCATGACAAAGGCTGAGACCTCAATTCCCACAAACACATGAGATCAACAGAAAGTAGCATTTTCATGACACAGGTGATAAAGAAATATTGAAGAACATGAGACTAAGTTATCGTCAGGGTTAAACCTCACAGCACTTTGGTAGCTAATAATGCCAGTTCTTAGCCGGTGGATACATCTTCGTTAGGATGTGGGGTGCCCTTCTTCTCCAGATATGTCTGCCCATTAGGATGAGACGTCTTTTTTCCTCTAGATATGACTGCCAGTTAGGAAGAGGGGTGTCTTTTCTAAATGATACACACCCATCAGGATGAAAGGTGTCTTTTTTGTTTCCTCCAGAAATGCCCATTATGGTAATAAATGTTTTTTCTTCCAAATATATGTGACCACTCATACAATAGCTGTCTTTTTTCCCCCCATGATATGTCTGGTAGTATGAGCTACGTCTTTTTTCCAAATATATGTGCACTGGGATAAGCTGTGTAATTTTTCTTTCTAGGTACGTGTCCAGCAGAACGAGCGGTGTCTTGTTCCCCCAGATATGTGTCCACTGGAATAAATTTAAAATAAGGACACATACATGTTGGTCAATACTTGTAGCGAATTCATTTCTCAGCCCTGGTCACAGAATATTATGGGCACCAAGGTCATCTCCACATCATCATTTAAACAAGTCAAACAGTCAGCTATGAACATCTCAAAGTATCTCATCACAAAGTACAATATAATAATAATAATAAAAAAAAAAAAAAAAAAAAAACAGCAAACAAGGTAAAACTAAATCAGGGCCAATGTCAGTTAAAGTTGAACTTAAATGTAAACCCCCCTCCTCCTCCTGAACCGAACGGATTGAAGCCTTGGTGGAAAAATGGGTGGCCATGTCCTCCTTGTTGTTCTTCTGGGTCCAAGGGATCCTCGCCCCGATCGTAGCGCTCTCTTTTTTCTACATTAAAAAAAACAAATCATGAATGTGAACAGCATGGAAGTGCCAAGAAATGCACATAAAAATACATAAATAACTTTCATAAAAATAAGTTTCATTCTTCAATGAAATTGGGCATGTGGTGCCAGCAGCACATTTTCCAGACCATCTGGCACACAATTGGTGATGTGGCTAACTCTCTCACAGGTTGCATTTACTTCCTTGGACATTTTTATGCTACCAATTTTAGATCAACCATCAGCATGGAGTTGTCAAGGATGCATATACAAGAATGAGGGGTCCTTCAATGAAAACCATAAAAGTGTGACAGAAAGCCGGTCATGAACAGTCTGTCACAGAAGTCACATTTATTAGGCTGACAGGCATGTGTAGCCATATTGGACCTTCATTCGCCGATGAATGTCTACAGATTTCACCCCTTTAATGATCAAAAACGGATAACAGAATACTGCTCTTTTTTTTCTTCAGAAGAGATAAAATCAGGAAATAAGGAAAAAGTACAAAACCAATACTAATTTACATATAAAATTGAAAATAAAATGTATGCCTTTGAAAAAATTCTTTATGATGCCAAAACATAAAAGGTATATACCATAAAGAATTTTATGATGCACATAACTTAGTTATACTACAAGATAAACCTCTGAGAGCCCTCAAGTTGAGGCCCTTTCTAAATTTCCCAGTCTGCCGATCTCCCACACAATGTTGGTTCATACACTTGGATCCTCTGCTTCTGATAGGAACTGACTGGTCCCTGCCCACAGAACTGGCGTCATTAGCCATTAGACGCTGAGAGAGATACTAAAGAGGGGATCTGAGCACTTATGGACTGAATGGTTCGATGTGCAATGATGATAATCTGTCGACTAACAAACTATAAATATTTTGGGTACTTTCAAGCTTTTCATTCCATCTCGTCGACTGTGAGATTTGGTATGGAATACCTAGGAGGTTCCCCGAAATGCTCTATAGTATAGTGTGGCAGCCGCTAAGGTTAGTTTTCTATATTCCTTTCGTCGCCTTAAACAGATTATCTAGATCGGACCTGTAAATTTAGGCTTGAACCAGTATTTCTCTAGGGCGACCTAGGCAGTGCGATGTGACTTGTGGACATTTTGAAGTGTTGGCTAAACCTAACAGACCCACACCCCCCCCCCCCCCCCCCCCCCCCCCCCCCATACTAAAAGACCTTCTGGGGAACCCACTATGAATTCCCTACCAAATGTTTTAGCCGATGAGATGGGGTGAAAAGGCTGGAAAAAAACAACAACCAGGTTTTGTAAGCTACGCTGTTGCACTACCTTGACGATGAAGATGATATGAAATATCCACCCCCCCCCCCCCGAAATATCCACCCCCCCCCCCCCTTTACACACACGGTCTTTACCTGGGTCTGTCAGCACTTCTTTAGCTGCAGCTAAATCTATAAATACTTTCTGGGCCTTTTCTTTCTCTGGGCCGTCATGTTTATCAGGATGCCACTTCATTGCTAAACCACGGTAAGCTCTAATAATTTCCTTCTTTTTGGCAGTTCTGAAAGTATGAAAAAAAATGCAATACAGTTATCATTCCTCATCACTGTCCTATTGTTTTTCTAAATGTCACACGGGGCTCATGGTCTATTCCGCCATTCCATTCTATCCTGTGCCATCTTTTCGATATCACGGATGGAATCAAGTCCAGCCCCTTTGGCTTCTCCCAACATTCACCAAAGGGTTTCTTTTAGGTGTCTTCGTGTCCTTAATCCCTTGACTTCCCATTGCAGTGCCTGTTTGGTGATTCACTGGTTGTTTCCTCTCAGGATGTGTCCAATTCAGCATCATCATCTTTGTGTTAAAACTGTTGTTATCAAAGGTTGCTCAAATATTTCTCTTACTTCTTCCCCGCTCTTGAATTTATCCCATTTTATGTTCAACATTTCCCTCCACATTATAACTATGCAGTGGGTAATCATTATCTCATTAACTTTTAATTATCATAATGTAAACTGTGAATAGGAAACTCAATTAAGGGATAATAAATAGGAAACAATCAAGGGATTGCAGCAGCAGCAACAACAAATACAACCTCCTTCTTTTCTTGTTACACTGTTACCGGGCTGTAGTCAAGTGTCAAGGTTTCCTGTATTTGTCTTGCATTTCTTCTGTGGCACGAGTGATGGTTCTGTTTTTCTGTTTGCTGGTTTTAGCTACACTGTCTGTCCATTGCTTCCCTGGTCTTCCTCATGACATCTGCCCAGATGTTCTGCTGTAGCAGGTCTCATATATAGTTTGGTCTGGCTGCATCCTTACTAGATGGTAGCTCCCTGATACCACTATAGATCATACTTTGTTGGCCGTAAAGACCACTTTAGATATCTGGTGTTAGTGTAATATCTGTTAAGCAATATTTCAAAATGTAACAGGTGAAATCGCCTGAGAGTATGGTATGTAGTGGGCGATTGCTTGTGATCTGATAGCTGCCTTATGCATTAATTTAATGCATGTGTATGCTATTGGTTTCTCCAGAGACTGCAGAGTTTTTAAGTTTTTTTTTTACAAGGGGCAGGAAGAAACCTTCTGTGTGGTTTACTCTGAAATAGGAGCAGAGCTATTATGGCGGTACCCATTTGCTGTGAAGTTGGAAATTCTAATAAACTTCTAGTCCATAGTTCCTGTCTAAAATGGCAGCGGCATGGCAGAATGTTACCTATGAGGTTGTTTTTGCCCTCCGACAGCACTTTGCTGGTGCAGTTTCCACATGTGGACGGTAGTCTTTGGTTTCACTGTCTGATCTACTGAGTTTAGTGCTTGGTGCAGCCCTGCGAGATAGCTCTTCCTGTGGAATGCCTTTCATTTGTGCAGCGGTTGTGTACTGGTATTCAACATGGCTTGCGCATGCGCTGTTGGAAAACCTTATGCAGTGGTTCTACGTGCGGATGCCAGACTACTTCCACCAGCGACAGACTGCATTTCTGGTGGCAACCGTCAGCTTGTGGCGCCTCTGCCAACTGAAATGTGCATCTGCTGCTTGCGCATATTTCGGGATTGTTCCGGGGCTAATTGTTTGTTCACCAGTTTTTCAAACAGGACAGTGAGGGACATTTCATTTGATTCGCACCGGCATATGAATGGAGCAAGTATGGGGAAACCCTATTGCAGTGACGTTAAAACCATGACTTAGACTAAGGCTTCTTCACATTTACCGGCTGTCAACTTCAGTAGAAAGTTCTAACCTCTGGAATTGTTTCAGAACTAGAGGTCTGTGTGTACAGAGCCGACTTAATCGTATGCAGACTGTTGGTTCCCCGCCTCTCAGGCAGATACATTCAAACTTTAAAGGAAACACCCCCTGATTTGCTTTTACGACATGCTCGCTGGGAGGCAGTTGGTCTATCCCCCTCCAATGTGGCAGTGGAACCCACAAGGGGAGCTACAAGCTGCAAACTATATAGAGGAAGGAAAAAAAGTAATTACTTGAAATAATCAACTGTATAAACGCACTGACCTTTTTACACCTAAGATTTTATAATAATCCCTTTTCCTGCTTTGCTTCTGTAATTTTTGGGCTTTGGCTAATGTTTCTTGCACTTTTCGAGAATTCTGATCTCTCTCCTGAGCTTCTTGCAACTCTCGAATAGCTGGGGACAAAATATTTCATTTGATGACTAACATACACAAGACACCAAAACAAAAATTACATAGACAGTCAAGGTATTTTAGGCATATTAATAGGAGAAAGAAGAAAAGAAACAAATGCCTGAGAGGAAAAAATTCTCCTTGATGGAGATTTAACATTGGGCTGACCTGGAAACTCAGAAAAAAAAAAAAAAACCCCAGCTTGATTAAATGGTCAGCACACAAGCCACTGGAATAACAAAGTTAAGAGGTCTTTTGAAACATTTCAGTTCCTATTTGAACAGTAGGTTGACCTGAAAGTTCAACATATTTAAAAAAAAAATCCATCTTGATGGAAATTTAAAAACATGACCACATGGTCAGCCTACCAGCCACTGCACTATTGCAGCTCCTTATGCTAACAATCATCAACCCCAAAAATATTCTCAGGGCATTCAGACAGTAGTATAAGAGTCATATCATGGAAGACAGAGACCTCACCATGTCATACAAACACATACGGCAGGGGGTGCACTGTAGCCAAATGTGGAGACCATACACAATCTTTTGAAAATACATATGATCATCAAATTCTCACCTGGTGTGCTGTTTTTACATCATACAGGGCTCGCATTTCATTTCTCCATTCTATCCTATGGGGAGCCTCCGTGATGTAGCGGCTAGACACTTGCCTTCGGAGCTGAGGGTCATGGGTTTGTGGGATCCTGGGCCTCCCTGTGTGGGTTCCTAGGCCTAACTGTAGGAAAACAAGAACAGACCCACTGCCTTCCCATGTTGTAGGAGTCCTACATGTCCTTCGAAGTCGTAGTACATCTGCCTGAGGGGCAAGGAACCAACAGTATGCATTCAAATAAGCCAGATGTGTGAAACGATTGTGCAGGCGACACTCAGGTTCTGGAACAAGACTAAAGTTCAGAGATGGGTGAACACCCAGAACTTTCTGCCAGAGTTTACAGCCAGTGAACACAAAGAAGAACTTAGACCAGAAACTCTGGCTTCTTTCATCAACGCTTGTCTTAGGATTTCTCATGGATGCCTTCGTTTCCTCACCACAAAGTGTCTATTTTACACTATTACACAGGCGCTACAATCACTGATAGCGGGACTGTGTATGCACATCACCGGACAGAAAAAAGCCCTAGCTGCAGACACACACACAAACACAAATAATCATACCTGCAACATAGTCTTCGTTAGCTATATGAGCCTCAGCCTTGTCCACCATAACACATCACCGGACAGAAAAAAGCCCTAGCTGCAGACACACACACAAACAATCATACCTGCAACATAGTCTTCGTTAGCTATATGAGCCTCAGCCTTGTCCACCATAACACATCACCGGACAGAAAAAAGCCCTAGCTGCAGACACACACACACAAACACAAATAATCATACCTGCATCATAGTCTTCGTTAGCTATATGAGCCTCAGCCTTGTCTACCATGGCATCGACATTGTCTGGGTCCAGCTGTAACACTTCACTGCATGATTTCAATGCATCGTTGATATTACCTGACTGAAATAAGCAGAAAGGTAAAGACAATCACAGGAGGTGTCAAAACATTTAACACACACACACATTTACCACTTTTGCGGTGTAGGGGTGGGGGAGGCTTTGTGAGCCTGGGGATTTAAGGCTGCTTGGCCAGTGCAGTCAGAAAAGACGGTGCAGGTTAGCGTTTTATTTTTGCCTCCGACAGGGAAAACCCATCATAACATTATTGGAGATTCTTCTTCTTCGCGTTCACCGGCTGTAAACTCTGGCGGAAAGTTCTGGTTGTTTGTCCACTTCTGGACTGCAGCCCTGCTCCAGAACCTGAGTGTTGCGCGTGCATCAGTTTTACAGATCTGATTCACTTGAAAGCAGACTGTTGGTTCCTTGCCTCTCAGGCAGATGCATTCTGACTTAAAGGAAGCTCCCCAATTAGTCGACTCTTACGACATGCTTTTGGGTAGGCAGTGGATTTATTCTTGCTTTCCCCCACAATGGGGCCCCGGAACCCACACGGGGAACTGGGAATTCAAACCTGTGTCTCTCACATGATAGCTGCTCCTCTATTAAACTGCAACATTACTAAAGTGTACAATGCACAACTCTGCAACTTCAATCAATCAGGTGCCGTCTCCACAAAGAAGGTTGGTTGCAATTGATCTTCGAATTGCTGTCTCTTATTTAGGTTGTCCTCCCACTTATAACGCTGTCTACCTCTTGCTCTTGACTGCTTCTTCTATTTTGGTTTTAAACAGTGCATTGTGACTTATAATGTGCCCAAAATATTTAAACTGTCTCTCTTTTTTATTTTATTTTATTTATTTCAATAATTCTTTTCAAACTTTCTGCTGGAGTTCACAGCCCGTGAAAGCTAAGAAGAAGAACAAGAGGTAAAAGTATGCCTCAGTGTGGATCTGAACACAAGACCTTCGAGCCAACATGTGTGTAGTAGTTAGAAAATAGAAAGAAATTAAAAAGACCAAGCCTGAACTTGGCAGACAACTGCACTTCATGTTCTTCCATGTTCACAGGACGGTTTGCATTCTGTGTTGTGCTCTACAGCTTGGCTGCAGTCTTTGCACCTTTCAGCACAATACAATTTTATCATAATTAGTGACCTTTTACAACATTCTTCTTTGGGGGCAATGGTTATTTTCCTTTTCTCTCAGGTCAGCACTGAGGCAGAGCCGCGAAAGGGGGTACATGTGAGCAACATTGCAACCATGCAGCATCTGGGGCCATAGCAAGCCACTGAGGGGTCGGCGATGCAGTGGTTGGCTGGTGTCAGAAGCTGGCTTACTCCAGGTCAACATGAATAAGGTTATCTGTTGTAGTGCAAGTGTCAGTTGCTATTACCATGTCTCATTTTGTCTGTTAGAATGCTCATAGGAGGGTCCAAAGAGTCACAACCCGGTCGCCCAACCCCAGGAAAGTGTTTAGGGCAGGGCTATTTAACTAAGTTTACTCAAGGGCCACAATTTTAGAAAATGGGGATCGCCACGGGCCAGAGCTCCAACATAGAATGATCATTAATGCAAAACAACAAGCAATGATCTGGTGGTCCACTTACTAGGCCTCTGGGCCACCAGTTGAATGGTCCTGGTTTAGGGGCTAAGGAAACAAAACACTTGCTGAAGGGGAGGGCCTCTACCAATGTTTAGTAGGCTCCTGTTGTGTATGCCCCCACCATGAGGCCCTTTCTTCCTCCCCCTCAAAATGGGGCCCCAGAACCCACACAGTGATCATAACTGCATTAACGACTATAGCAATGCAGTTGCACCATTAATACTTTATTACCCACAATACCATTACTTCAATAACAACACTGTACCGTGCATGTACTTACATGTGAATGACAGTGACACAAGAACGACTTTGCTCTGAGTATAAAAGGCATAATGTCAGGTTCCGTTTTCATAATTTGAGTTGCATGTCTGACACATTCCTCATACTGTTGGTTATTGCGAGCATCTTGCACATTCTGCAGCTGCTTAACCAACTTCTTCAACTTTTTATAATGTTCAAAACACTCTTTATGGTCAGGGTCCAATTTAAGGCACTCGCGGATTTGCCTGGAAAGAAAAAAGATAATTTTTTTATTTAAAAAATAATATTTACTGTTTTCATGCCTGCTTGAAGATGTAAGGCCCATATTTGTTGTCAGTATCACTATGACTGCTTTATCATCATGAAGCAGGTCCTTTGCAGACAGTCCCTCTCATAGTGGTCTGCCACTTTCTTATTCAAGAAGTAAAATAAAGTGAAGGTCTTCAGTGATTGTGGTTATAAATTAGCCACATTCTCACTCAAGAAGTAAAATAAAGTGAAGGTCTTCAGTGATTGTGGGTATAAATTAGCCACATTCTCACTCAAGAAGTAAAATAAAGTGAAGGTCTTCAGTGACTGTGGTTATAAATTAGCCACAGGCTCAACAATCACTGAAGACCTTCACTTTATTTGCTTACTGAATGAGCCTGTGGTTAATTTATAACCACAATCACTTAAGACCTTCAGTGTATTTTACTTCTTGGGTAAGAAAGTGGCTAATTTATTACCACAATCACATAAGACCTTCATTTTATTTTACTTCTTGAGTGAGAATGAGGCTAATTTATAACCACTATCACTTAAGACCTTTAGTTTATTTACTTACTGAATGAGTCGAGTCCGTGGCTAATCTACAAAAGTAAACTTCTGCACCTCAAAAACTTACAAAAGACTTTCATCCTCCTCTCCCATCTGATAATGTAACTTGCTCAACCGACAGTAAGCTTTGGTGTTGTCTGGCACCAGTTTTGCAGCAGGCCGAATGTCACTGATGGCTTTAAACAGCTCTCCCTGGGCAATGTATGCCTCTGCTCTCAGTTCTCTTAGTTCTGGATTCCAGGGGCAATGCTGAAAGGGGCAGCATAGAAAATAAACGACAAGAAAGTGTTATTTTGATAAAAGGCATAGAATGGTATAATTGTTTTTTTTTTTAAACAATAACAATAAACAGTAATGACAGACTTTATGTAATAAATGTATATTTATAATACACCCAAAACATGATGAAATGCTTTTAAACAGAACAAAAGACAGAAAAGAAAAAAGTGCAATGTAAAATAACAATTTGAATACTAAAAAGACACCACACTCTTAAAAATCTGTACTGGTGAGGGAAAAAATCAAAATACAAGTGAGAATGGGATAGCATTAAAAGGAGGATGATAATATCAAGAGATGGACAAACAACATTCTGACAGGGTTATACATGAGGATAAACTACAAAACAGAAATTGCATACAAAGAATTACAACATGTATAATATAAATACAATTATACAGAGAATCACAACATGCATACAGATAACTGCTACCTCCATACAGACAATACTGGAAGTATACACATAATTACTTTGGAAGCAAGTGAACAATAAAGAGACATGAATCGATTATTATGTTCTAGAGAGAATGATACAGCTGGTCAATACTCTACATTCATAGAAAAAAGCAAGAAGGACAGAAAAGATTATTATCTCACCTCTATGGCTACTTCCAGGATATTGATAACCTCCTGGTATTCTTGATGTTCAAAGTAGTGTTTTGCCAACTCTACTCTCTCTTGTAACTGCTTGATCAAATGGCTTTTCTCCAAAGCTTCCACATTATTAGGATCCCTGGCCACCTGTTGGGACAGTCAGATAAAACATTTACTGTAACATTTAAAATACCCAATGGTACTTTTATGTGAAAAAATAACTACCTATAAAATGCACTGGATCTGTAAGTTCACTAACAACAAAGGAAGGGAGGGGTTATGAATACCAGCATTAGAGAGAAAGAATAAGACCTTGTCTGAATTATACTGAGAGACAAAAAATGAAATGGTTCAGCCAACTAGTAGGAATGCCTTCAGACCAAACTGCATGAGAAATAGCTGAACACATGGGAAGAAGGCCAGGGAAAGATCAAGCAACAGAAGCATAAATTGTGTAGATGAAATCTGCAAAAAAGATGAACAAATCTAAACCCAAGCCAGCCAAGAAGTGCAAGACATTTACAGAAAATCGTGACACTGTGTTACAACTCCGAATCAGAGAAGACGATAAAAGAGAGAAAAATAAGAGAATTATGTTATCATCATCATAGACTACAACAGTGTGTTGCTGGGCCACCAGTTGCTGTTGACTGACCAGTTTCTTCAACTTCTGTCAGTCAGATGCAAAGGACCAGATATTTGCATATTTAAGGTCCATCCAGTTTAGCCATATTATGTATCCAGTTCTTCCTTGGTCTGCCTCTTCTCCTCTTCAGAACTATGTCATATCATTTTGGACAGGCCAGTAAAGTAAAAAGTCACTTTTCCACACCTTAAGGCATATTGAGAATATAGGACTAGAACCTATATTTTTATAGACCAATCGGCACTTGGTGGGTGATGTGGTCAGCTTCATGCCTGCCACCTTTACATCCCAGGACTGCACGTGGTACCCACGCAAGGCTGGGTCAACCTGGGTGGAAGTAATTTTTGAGGGGAAAAAAAAGTCTGGCTCCATTAGGAAGCGAACCCATGACCTTTCGATCCTTAGGCGGGAGTGGAGAGGCCAGTAGATCTTGTTAAATATCTGTATCGTGCGCTCAGCACTGTTGTCAAAAGAGGTTCACAGCTGCCAATGTGCTGAGCGATGATACTTCATCATTTCTCGTAGAAGAAAGAAATTCAGAAATCTTGGACTTATACTAACTGATGATGACACAGAGAAACAGCGAACTCTGGTTATTTTCACATTCACCATGACACTTCTGGAGTGAAGTATTGATGGGGGGGGGGGGGGGGGGGCCACCACCAACAAGAGAAAGATGGTGCAGAATAAGAAATTAGAGTAGTATGTAGCAATTGTTCTAAATTAGGGAGTTTTAAAAAGTTACTTCAAAGAAAGAGTAAATGCAGTAAACTACATGACAAGCAGCAACGAGAAAACAATTATACTTCGTTGAAACAAACATTTTTGTACATATGTCATCTCAATCTTGCAAGCAGATTGTATAATTTACCTTGTCTCCAAGAAGGATTCAATCAACAACAAAAAGAAAAGTACAAGAAAATGTCTTGGAAAGTAAACATGGCTGACGTGACACTGACCCCTTCTTCAACTGAGTGCTGATTGGTCTATGAACATTTAAGTCTAGTACCAACCGCCGGATGTCCTGATGGTCCAAAAAAAAGGGTCCTTTATCTTACCTTTTTTAAAAACAGAACCAAAAAACAAAACATACACACACAAACATAAATGATGTTGGTGACCAGCAGGCAAGTGATCCAGCCATTGCATTTTTACAGCTGCTGGAATATACAAGTGGTCAAAATGACACTGACCACATCTACTATAGGCCGATGAGCCTAAAATATGGGGCTAAATGCATATATCCAGCATGCTAAATGATACCTTTCACTTCATTCGTGTCCTGTTCTGCCTCTAAATGTCACATAGGGCTGGCAGTCTGTTTCTCCATTCCACTCTACCAGTCCAGCACCTTTAGCTTTTTCCATCAACGTTCACCTTAGGGTACTAAAATCAAACATTCGCTGAAGATCATTTGTATATTATAGCCTATTTAAAAATAATGCAAACACACTTACTATAACTTTAAAATCATTGTCAGCCTCCACGAGGTTGCCTTGTTTCATCAGAACATTCCCTCTTTGCATCCGGGCCTGAAAGAACAAGAAGCCAATGTTGAAACAAAAACATTTTCAGCAAACGTCAAACATTATCATAAATCAAACACAAGTTCCAATGAGAATAGGAATGAAAAGACTTGCTGGTAGAATTAAATTTGAGGGAAAAAAGGCAAAGAACGCATCATAGGTTCCCACCTAGAAGCTCAATAAATGCAAGATGCTCTGATTTTACAGCTCTCTTTACAACCTTTTGGGCCTCTGATGCTCAAACCCCTGGGACTGAAAGAGTTGAAAGACATAACAGTCTAATAGTTGCTTTACAATATGTTGCACAACCAACCCCAGCCTTTTTTAGCTGTTGTGGTTTTTCTAGGCAAATTTACGTCCAGTAGTTTGCCATTGTTTTCTTGACGGTCGGCTTCTCGAAACCACTGTTGAAACCAACACAAGGTGCAGGGCCCACAGTTGGGATCGAACCCAGCACCCCGGCATTACAAAGTGCGTTTGCAACGCCTCAGCCACAGACACTGACTGAACACTTATACTGGATGGAAAAGTTAAGGCAACTGTATATTATACAATTAGTCTCATAAATCAATAAATGAAGCAGCAGCTGTGAAGAAGAATGCATTTGATTGTATCCTTAACTGAATGTAGCTGAAAGGGGCCAACACCACACACGTTTTTGTGCACAAGTAGAGAGAAGTACAAAGTGGGAAGAGAACAAGATATTTGGAGGGGATAGACTGTGATATAGAAAAGCAAGAGAGACAGAGACTAACAGGGGAAAAAGAGAAAAAAAGAGGTGGGGGGGGGGGGAATACAGAAGGGGTGGAGAGAGAATGACAGACTAACAAAGAAGGGGGTAGAGAGAGAGGAAAGACAGCAAAGAGAGACAGTAAGTGAGCAGAAAGAGAGAAAGAAAGAGAGACAGAGAGAACACTTTCCACAGCTGCTTGGTTAGCAAATATTTACTCACAGCAAAAAAGTCTGGTTTCAGCTCAACAACTTTATCGAGGTCTGGTAATGCCGATCGAGACTTGCCAAGAGCAAGAAAAACAGTAGCTCTTTTGAAATAGGTCAGGTAGTTGTCTGGATCTCCGTCTGTAAGTTTATCAAAAGGGAGCATCTTAATTTAGGAAATGCATTGGTGTTTTTAAAGATACAAACTGCATAAGATTTTACATAATATTTTCATAAAAATGTGCTTATACATCATGATGCACAAAGAAACAATCGCACAAAATAAACATTTGTTCAAGTCATCTTTATGTACTAAATTTGGCTGCTTATCTGTTATAAGACTTTGCAAACCAGCCCTTGCATTTAATGGCTGCTGCGTTGCATGATAAGGCAATTTTATGCTCTGAAGTTTGCCACTGCTTTCTCAACAGTTCAACACACCTACAGATGTCAAAGTTACAGCACAATGGTCTGCTACCAAATCACAAAACACATTCTTCACAGGTCAATAAAAACCAATGACAATCAAATGTAAACAGGTCAACAGAGGGGAAAAAAACCATGATTTATGTACACATAAAGTTAAGGTGAAAGAAACAAAGTTACACAGCGAGTAAAAATGCCATCAAAGAACACAGAAGCATGAGTTACAACAGTCATCACTCATGAAGGACAGAAAAACATTTCAAGGTATTACACACTGTAGCTAAAGAACCACCCTAATTATAGATGTTTTTTTACATTTGAACAAGATATCTAGGATATGATCATGTTGAGCTGACATCCAAAACGTAGCTAAAGTTTCTGTGATACCAAATCTTTAAGACTCAATTTTCTTTTTCTTCTGCTACAAAGGTAGTTGGTACCTTGTATTGGGTATACAGTTAGGCTGTGATACATGCATCTTTCGCCCGTGTGTCACCGGAGCCCCTCACGGGAAGCAAAGAATAGTGACACTGCACCCTACCAGGCATGTCGTAAGAGGCGACTAAGGGTAGGGTTGGGCTTGAGGTTGGCTACCTCATCCTGTAAAAACCATAGCCACAAAAACCAACCAACCATGGATAAGTCAAAAAGAGAGAAGGATAGAACGACTTGGCGTGAGTTGGTTGAGGGCCTATGCTCCATTGGGGGATAGAAAGGCAGAAGAAGAAGACATGCATCTTTGAGCTGAAAACATGTGATTTCAACCAAAACCCTAATTAATTTGTCACCTTTTATGACATGCTGGCCAAAAAAAGGCAGATCTCTCCCCCCTCCCTTTTCTAAATGGGGCCCCGGAACCCACACAGGTAGGTAAGAGTTAAGAAAGGGAAATACATCCAATCTTGCACCTGAAGGACAATCTGACATACCAGTTTCTTATCAACAAAAGAGAATAATTACATCAGTCAAAAAGCCACACAAGGTGATTACCATATTATAGACAGACTAGAGACATTATTCTACACCTCAGAACAGGGCACAATCAATTTCGCAACCATATGTACACAAAACTTACCATTGGCGAATCAGCCATGTGCACATGTGGACTGGCACCTAAGATCACATACCCCAAGACTGTCCCAAATACAATATTTCCAGGCTAAAAACTGCTGGCCAAGAGAGACACTGGTGGAATCCAAACTTTACGGGCCGCTAAGCGAATTACAGAAGACAATGATGTTCAGACTAGAGACAACATTGCAGATAAAGATAATTTATTTTAAGCAAACAAAGAAAGAAAAACAACAAACACTGTGATCCTTAGTAACTAACACACAAAAATGTAAAGGTATACAAAATACTCACCAACAGCAGCATGGTAGTGAGAAAGTGCATCTGCAAGCTGTCCAGCTGCCAACAGTTTCTTGCCCATTTCCAAGTGCTGTTCCACCTCTGGGTTAACCCCTTCTGCCACTGAAATTAAACATCAATCAAATGAAACATCTAAAAATGAAAGATTTTAAAATAAAGCTAGAATCCAGAAGGCAAATAACAGAAACTACCCTGCCAAGAGCATCATACAAGGCACAAACTCTAAAGCTACGGTGACAATATCAAGAGATCTCTGCACAAACGACACTCTAGAACTGAATGATGCCTCTGTGAAATGAAACCACAATCTTCAGAACGCAAGGCAAACGGCTTGACCACTTTGCCACAGAGATCTTCTCAACAAACTGCTGAAACATCTTGAAGACTGTCTTCTGTACCGTGAGTTAAGAAAGACACAAGTAATCAATTTAATTGTAACTCCAAGCTGCTGAAAAAGAAACTTCAGGTGATAGTTACAATCATTACAAAAGCTTGCCTTAAAGATGTAATCACAAGATCAGCTTTGATCATTTGCATATCACAATTTTTTATCCAGACTCACTTATTCTCATTATTATGACCCATCACCAAGGCCTTTGACCCTTTTTAAAAACAAGGCGTCACAAAGTGTCAATTACAGCAGCAATTTAAAATAAAAATGACGCCTAAAGAACGGTGAAACACTGCATAGAGCTAGAATTATTGCTCTGTTTCTAATAACATATTGAGCCCTGACAGTTGTTATTTCAAAATATTCAATTACAAAGTCTGTGTACTTGGGAGCTGAAACCTTTGAATATTAATGAGTTGCAGCAATGCAATTACTGGACAGAACATGTTGAAATAACAAGTTAGATAACATTGGCTAATGTTACAGAAGAATGGGCCAGATGGTTAGCAAATGATACTATGTAAACAAAGCAGGGCCATTCAACAAAGTTTTTACTCAAGAGCCAACATTTTAGAAATGGAAATCGTCATGGGCAAGAGCCCGATCTCCAGCATAGAAAGGTAATAATACAGTACAACTAGCAATGATCCGCAGGCAAAAATCTGGCCCGTCAGTTGAATAGCCCTGATGTATAGAATATCAATAACCATATTGGGCTAGCTTCCTGTTTGGGCTCTGAGGCACCATTGCGGAGAAAACAAGAACAGACCCACTGTTCCCCCCCCCCTTTTTTCCCCCCAAAAGAGAAATGTCATAAAAGTAAACTAACTGGGGACTTCCTTTGAAGTTGGAGTGCATCTGATCAAGAGGCAAGGAACCAGCAGTCTGCATACAAATAAGTCAAATCGGTAAAAAGAATGTGTACTAACACTCAAAACCTTCCGCCAGAGTTTACAGCCAGTGGACGTGAAAAAGAAAAATATTTAATGAGTTGCAGTAATGCAATTACTGGGCAGAAAATGTTGAAATAACAAGTCGGACAAAATCATGGCTCCATGGTCCCAAGGGACTGATGGTTGTCTACCAGTAGCTATTTTTCATTTCAGCTATATCTCTTACATGGCCCCTTGGGGTGCGGGGAATGTGTTTCCTCTCACTAAGTGCAAAGTGTTAAACTGTGTATCATGAATTTGTGTTGTAATCAATCTAAGCATTGTTGTGTGGAAACAAGGTTTATCAATCTTCTATGCATGTATATGTCCTACACGTTACTGACAGTGCTATTAATTCTCCTTCATATCCTGAGACCTTACATTTCCAACATTTTGCTTACTTTTTTCTCTTTCTCTGTACAGTGTGGCATAAAAGTGAGCTAAATGATGCAACCATTTATACCTTATTTGCCACCTTTCTTTTTTCCCTGGATGTATTTATATTTTCCCCTCACTTCCACCTTAACACATAAATGATAATGATCATAGTTTGTCAATGTGAAGGATCAGCATTTCACACTAGAAGGGCAATATCATCCATCTGATTATCTCACCCTGTCAACTTACATTGCTGGGAAGCCTCTAGATCTGAGTTTTTCAAACTGTGTACTACAACACAACGGTCACAGTGTGAAGATGTGTTATGAGAACTGGTGTTATCCAACTTGTTTTATTAGTTACTCATAAATCTTCTATTTCTGCATTTACCTTTAAAAGGATGACTGGCACACTGTGTGGTGGCTTACAGCTAGGTTGCGATATCTGCCCTTTTTTTGGGCCCAACACATGCGATTTCAGCACACCCCTAATTAACGCCTTTTTATGACAAGTTTTTTCAGAGAGTGTGGGTCTTCCCCCCTCCCCCCACCGGAACACTGGAATCCACAAAAGCAGTTGCTCAGAGATTAAAAAAAATTACATTAATTTTGGAAATATTTTTATTTCAATACGTATGAAAGGTTTCCATTACACAGGTTGTGCAGTGAAACATTTTTTAATTACAATTTATATTTGTATCTGTATGTCTTGTAAGGAGACAGTTTAACCTCTGAGCTGCTAATAAAACTAAATTACTGTGTGTTGTAGACTTATGTTTGTCTAAAATGTATGTCAACAACATGAAACATCTGCAAAACTGCTCTGGTCATCATAAGGTTATTTTTTTCTCTTCTGAGAGAACTTCATGTCTGTATCAGCAGGCGTACAATGTGCAACTACAGCGATTCACTTCTCTTCTATTGATTCCCATTTCTATACACAAACCCCCTCCTTGTCCATTTTATTTCACAACCTTTTGTTTGTTTAACTGTGCTGATATGTAGTCTTGTCAGGACCAACAGAACTGTCATGTAGCCTTGTGCAGTTTGGATCAACAGAACTGTCATATAGCCTTGTGCAGTTTGGATCAACAGAACTGTCATGTAGCCTTGTGCAGTTTGGATCAACAGAACTATCATGTAGCCTAGTGCAGTTCAGGTCAACTGTTTTGCATGTAGTCTTCTCCAGTTTAGATGAACGGTTTTTCATTTATGGGTGTTATAATTCAGTGACAGACAGACAAGTCACAAGGTAATTTTTCTTTAACACATTTTCCCGTTTTCCTCCAGATGATTGTCATAGCCCTGTGGGACAGAGTATAGACAATACGTCGTGTAACTACATGTTGGTGTTTCACGGACCAAAAATGTGCACCAGCGCTCAGCCAGTTGATTTGATGATACGGGGAAAACCCGAGATGCGTGAACACTGGTGCAACGTACACGTTTGAACCAGAGCTGAACGGGGAGAGGAGAGAAAAAGGACGGGCGAGGATGAGGACATTTTGAGAGACGTGATTGTATTTTTTTGTTAGGAATTGACAGATAGGTTGTGTAGTGTTAACGCTGTCGTCGTATGTGTTGGTTAGCTGTTGTTATTCCTCGTGTGCTGATAGTATGATAAGACAGTTGTGTTGGGGTTGTACCGTGGTTAGGTAGGTGTTCTTGTCCCTGGATTTTTGGGAGTTTTCTGTCTGCGTCTTGTGCTGTCGTTGACATTGTCCGCTAATACTTGAACCACTCACCATGCGGGTGCCACTGAGTCTCGCATGGCGAAGATCGTAGCCTAGTTGGCGCTGCACTACAGGAGGTGGAATCGTGTCCTTTGGTTCATCCATGGGAATGGCCCGGGGTGGATAGGTAAATATAACTGCCGCCACTGCCCGAGAATTTCGGATAAGGGGACTGTCCATAACTGTAGAGGTTGTTTTGGCTTATGTTGTTCTTTGGCCATTAAAGATGATATGTGTGCTTCATTTGTGTATGTATTGAGTGTGTTTTGGTATAGTTTGTCTGTCACAGGGCCGTACAGCGAGCCCTAGTTCAGTAATATAGATATCAGGTCCTTGACAATGATAAAATGACAAGCTAAACTGCAGGCTCTCCTATCAGATTTGGCCGTCAAGCTGGACTGCTTCGGCCGGCTTAGTGGGAGTTATGTCCCTTCGCCAAACTCAAAACAAGTCGCGGAAAAAGTCACGAATCAAATGACATACTTACCTATCATCATCCGGGTGCGTGTAGAGTTGCGTAGGGTGTCTATCATCGTCCTACGGTTGCGTGTAGGTTGGTTGTTTGCGTAAGATGATGGGTAGGGTTAGGGTTAAGGGTATGGTACGATTTGAAAATTTTCACGTAGGAGGTCGAAATAGTGGCCGACAATCTGACGTTTGTGGGAGTGGCGCCACTGAAACTCTGCCAAATATGACGCTGTAGTTACCTATAATCACGCACAGTCGCATGCACGCGCAAACAGTCGACGGGCGGTGGATGCTACTGACACGGGAAATTCGCCAGCGACTGGCACCAGCCGCCCGCTATTGGCGTCATATGTGGCAGAGTTTCAGTGGCGCCACTCCCACAAGCATCAGATTGTCAGCCACTATTTCGACGTGAAATCTTCACATCTAACCATACCCCTAACCCTAACCCTAAACCTCATCTTACGCAAACAACCAACCTACACGCAATAAGCAGCCCTACACGCAACCGTAGGACGATGATAGACACCCTATGCAGCCCTACACGCCCTACAGGATGATAGGTAACCCTAGACGCAACAGTACACAACCCTACACGCACCCGGATGATGATAAGTAAGTATGTCATTTGATTCGTGACTTTTTCCTCTCGTTGTTGTGAGTGCGGCCAAGGGACATAACTCCCACTAAGCCGGCCGAAGCAGTCCAGCTTGCCGGCCAAATCTGCTAGGAGAGCCAAACTGCAATTATATATTTATTATTTAAGTGAGGATTGTTAGCAGTGTTTAATAAGTAATGCTGGTGTTAGCAGAATATATTCTGAGTTGGGTTTAACTCTTTACAATACTTTACACCAATCATTTTGATTTTGATAAGTGAGGATAAAAGACTTGTTACTTACTAGAACCTAATTTAAACTTCCAAACGCAACATCCTGCAACTCATTTATTTATTTTACAAACAGCTTATTCTTATTCCTTCATCTTAGTTGGTTATATTAATTATTACTAATTACTTTCCCAATTTAGTTAGTTAGTTGGGTTATCATCATTGCACTCCGGACATGTCCATAGGTGCTCAGATCCTCCCCTCAGTATGAACCCCAACGTCCGATGGCTAATAGTACCAGTTTCCCAATTATTAGTTAGGAATCGAAAGACGGTAAAAAAAAAAAAAGAGAATTTCATGCTGTCAGTTGTTTCTGATTAGTAGTAGTTAGTGTAGTAGTAGTAGTAGTAGTACAACATATTTTTGTTTTGTTTTGTGTTTTTAAAACTAAAAAAAACGGCAATTAATTATTAATATAACTAACTTTAAAAAAACACCTTATACCTATACCTATACAATAACATGTACGTTATCAAACAATCTTACATAAGTTTGGCGTAAATTTGTACTTTCCTTTTATTAGAAAACTGGACAGTCACAAACAGCTAAAATAAACTGTAATGTGAACTTAACGTAATTAGAAACAGAAACAAAATACAAAAGTCGACCGTTTTTTTTAAATTGCTCACTTACCATTAAAGTTATAAATATCACACGTCATTAACAAAATCGTAAACGACCGCACCAGGCGCGACCAATATTCCGAAGTACTGTATTTCATTTCCACCATCTGGACTGGTACAACGTTCCCATGAAACAGACTAGAAGTCGCGGAGAGAGAAGACTGGGCTGTTATTGTCCCACATCGCCATCTCTAGCTGTAGTACTGGCCCGTTCATCGTGGGTCCCTGCCATTGGCCGCCTCCTCCAATTCCGGGTCGTTCTTTCGGAATCGATGACGTATTCCTAATCAAAAAGAAATTTTTTGATATGATTCCATAAACTTTTATATTTGGGGAAACTTTGATGATATGGTCTGTTTAAGAAAAAAAAACTATGATGGGAAAATTTTAAAGCGAGACCACGGGAATGTGAGAGTTTAACGGTGGAATGTAAGATGGCGAACGTTTGAGTTGACAACGGTAATGATAAGAAGGCGCTATGCCGTATTTTGGTTACTTTTATTTTTATTACCCTGAAATATAAAGGCGTGCAAAATAGAAATCTTGGAAATAATTACAAAATAAATATCGTCGTGATTATTTGTCAGGGGTTTCAGTTTAGTATAGTTATTTTTATGGCTTTTCTTAACGAGCTCATTTAAATTTTAACCAAGTTTGATCATGTTTTTTGGGTGGTGGATCACATTCATTGATTAAATGAATCAAGAATTGACATCCCTGCACTATGGACATTCCCACACATGCTCCATCTCTTTCACCAGTAGCCACTTCTGCGTTATCATAATGTAGCTCACCACCCGGAGGTCGGGAGCGGCCAATCTATTATCTAACAGTCTGTTCATTGACCTGCACATCTGAATAGATCCTGGACAGAAAATCCATGATAATCTCTTGATCAAAGTCTTATCAAGTGATGCAAGCCATTCTTGTAATGTTCCAGAACTTGAGTTTTGTATTTACATCTATTTTACAGATCTGGCTTACTTATATGCAGACTATTGGCTTCTTACCTCTCAGACAGATGCATTCTGACTTCGAAGGGAACTCCCCTGATTAGTCTCTTGGTATGACATGCTTATTAGGTAGACAGTTGGTCTATTCTCCCCCAGAACCCACACAGGAGAAGTAAAACATTTAAAACCCCGCCAATTACACCCTGACTCCCCATCCCACACACATTTTTTGAACATCACATGGAGCACTGGCAGCACATCTGTAAAGATGACCACTTGGTGATATGCTTTTGTTTGTTGAAACAGCGGATCAACATCATGGCACAAGGGTGGTAACCCTTAAGTGCTCCTTTCTATTTCCGACTCAAGCCTGAGTCCGAAGAATCTCAGCGCAGTGCACAAACTCCATACCACTTGGTGATATTCAGAGCTGGTGTTATGTGGGTTAGCATTTTAGCAGCCTGGTGTAGTTCTTCAATCTCTGCTGTTTTGTTGGAACAGAATTTACCAGTGGGTAAATACTTTGTGTCACAGTTTTTGTCTGGATATGTTATAAGAATGCCAGCACCTCTATTCTTAGCAGCACTGGTTGCTGATGCATGTTTAACTGTGTATTCTAGAGATGGAGGGGAGAAAAAAAAAGGTTATTTGATATATTTGGAGAAATAAAATATCGTTCATAACATAATTCTTTAGTTGACTCTCAGCAGCCTGGTTGAAGAGTTTAATCAACCATATTTTCTGTCATCACTTTCCAATCGATGTCAAATGTGATTTTTGTCAGCATCCTACCAGATAAATTTGTCACCTGTGAGATGCTTGAGAAAGACTATTCAGATTATTCAAAAGAGACAGAATGGGGAGAAACAGTGTCACCAGAAATGTGATAGAAATAAAACTGTATCAGTTTCTTCATTATTCAATAAATATTAAAATGTGATCAGCTATTAAAAGCATTCAAGAAAATTGTTATGTACATGTAGAGCCAGTGGAATGCTGGACAGTATATTCTTCTTCCTCATAAATTATCTATACATCTGCAGTGCTGTTTCTGATATGAACTTCACTGTCTCTTGTAATTAACTTAGCGGCCCGTAAAGTTTGGCTTCCACCAGTGTCTCTCTTGGCAGAAGTTTTGTCTGGGAATGTAGTATCTGGGACAGTCTTGGAGGAAGTGATCAGTTGTTTCAGGCACCATTCCACAGGTACCCATGGCTGATTAGCCAGTCTTAAATTTCGTGTAAATGTGGCTGCGAAGTAGATTGTGCCCTGTTCTAAGGCGTAGGATAATATCTTGCTCTGGTTTGTCCATACTATAGTGCCAGTCTTGTGCAAGTTTAAGAGGCTTTCTGATTGATTTGATTATTCTCTTCTTCTGTTGATAAGGACAGTTTATTGTGCAATGTATTGTTTGTGTCCCCATTTCACAGTTATGTGGCTTATAGGAAAATAAGTTTAAGTTTCATGATTCTTGAGTACTAGGGTTCGTGTCATTCTTCTACTTCTTCTTCACGTTAACCGGTTGTAAAATCTGGCAAGAAGTTTTGCTTGTTTGTCCATGTTTTGACTCTAGTCCTGTTCCAGAACCTGAGTGTTGCATGTACATTCATTTTATAGATCTGACTGTATATTCAAACTGTTGGTTCCTTAGGCAGATGCCCTTCAACCTTGATGGAAGCTCCTAATTAGTCGACTCTTACAGCATTCTTTTGATTAAGCAGCAGGTCCAATCTTGTTTTTCACCACAATGGGGCCCCAGAACTCACACAGGGTGGGTTCAAGTTGTACAAGATTTTAAACATTAAAAAAACAATAATTTAAAAAAAAAACCACTCATGGTTACGAGAGTTGAACTGTGGAAGAGGTTTGGGCCTCACCACATCATATCCCAAAGACAGCAGTGGGCACACTTTCGCTAACCTTCATGTGGAGACGGCTCACAGTTTTGTTAACCTTTAGTCACAGCGGGATACTATTGTTTTGAGCGAAGGTGTATTTGACTGATAACATCAGAAAGTTGTATGTGTATTTACTGCACTGTTTAGGTATGTATTCAGCTGAGGGCCAGCAAATAGGCTTCTTTTCTGTCCAGAAAGAGTTAACAGCATATGATGTTTGTGTTTCTATGTATAAGCATAAACTAAATACTCTAACAGGCTGTGTAAATACGTGAACTGCTTATTGTATTTCAGCAGCTGGTTGCTCCCAGGAGACAAAATGGCTACACAATTCATGCCTCCGTCATCATACATGACTGTACCACCAGTCATGGGGTACAATGGATACCCTAATGGTAAAACTGGTGGGTTCTCCTTCCGCAAACGAGTGGAACGGGTGGACTGGAGAAAGATTTCAATGGTGGACATTGAGAACATTTCCAGAACTTTAGATTTTACCACACTGCAGGAGAATATCATGAATATTACTTTCTGCAATCTGGAAGCTGAACTGGTAAGAGAGTATTCTGTTTCTATTTGCATATTTTTTTTGTTTGTTTTGTTTTAAAATTATTATAATAATTTAGTTACAGTGTGGATAGTTATTTAAAAAAAAAAAGCCTGGGCACACCTACCCTTAAAGCGGTTTTAATAATTAAGAAAAGAAGGAAAAAAACAGTGCAAGTTTAATGTCAAGCAGTGTAAAAAAATTCTTGATTATTGCCTTTTCATACCTGACATATGCTTACGGCACCAGCACCCAGTTGGAGAATCGATGCGTTAACGTATTGGCATTGAAGCCAGCTTGATCCATCATCTAAACATAAACCAGGAGGTATTAGAATCACAGCCAGTGGCGACGGCAAGCGTGATTAGTAAGACCTGCTTATGTTAACCCTACCAGACCTGAGGCCCTGAACCTAACTGTCCCCTATACCTGAGCTCCTGGGCATCAACACGAAAAAAAAACCAAGATGATATACAAAAACATTAGTTACATGCAAAAAAATGGTTAGAATAAGTTGAAACTTGGAGACATTGTAGAAAAGAGGTTTTACCTTTCATCTTGCGCCAATATTCCACCTTTGTGTGCAGTTCCACCCAGAAAGATCGGCCTTGTTTCACAAAGTGAGCACCAGATGTTGCTGTATGAGGGACATGCCCCCTTCTCTTACTATTGATCTAGTTTCGGATCTATAAATTTCAAGATTCTCCTCATCACTCCAGCTCTCACTGACTGTATCACTTCAACTGGGAACGTATTCTTCTCGAAATTCTGACTCCCCAGAGTCTAAATCAACCAAAGTATCGATCAAATGTTGGACTGTGAAAAGCCTAGACCTACTTCACTTTCCTGTCGAAGTGCCTGGTTCATCAGCTGCTCGTTTTATTGTGAATTTTCAAACTTGTTTTCACGTCAAACCACACAAAGAAAATCTGGAGACACGTGGGCAGCAATTCGCAATGACTAACCATGAGGTCTGACCACGATTGGCTAGTTATTTTTAGTTTGTAACGCATTGTTTTCATGTAGTTCGCAAAGTACCAACATTGCGGGACACCGGTTTGGCGGCAGATTTGGAAATTCCCGTAATAGACGAACATCAGTCTGGTAGAGTTAAGAAAAATCTTCCACAGTTAGAGCATGAATTTCAGAACCAATGATGCCACTGCTTATATTTATATTTAAAGTACTTCTTCCCAGACTCTCAGCTGTCAACCTATCTGCAATTATATTCTTCCCTATCATTATTCCCTTCCAGATTTTTCTCCCTTACAACACAGTCCATGGCAATTGTTTCCACAAATCCCCCACAATACCTGTATTATTCATGTCCCACTTGGATACATCTTTATATAAAAGTTAATGTATCAGTTGAAAATGTGCACCTTAAGTTTACAGTTGTTCACAGTGGTCATTCTGCAAATAATTTTTCCTAGGATATTCGCACAGTGGACCCAAATTTTGTCAAGCTATTCAAGTTAGCACAGCTGACAATAGAATATTTGTTGGTAAGTAAAGCAGTGACAAACTGTGAATTTGAATGTCTTTTTATACCAGTGATTGCCTATAATAATCTTCTACAGGGAAATGGAACAAAAGTAATGTTTCAAGGACAATCTAAAGATCTCACTGAAGGAATGTGGCATTGACACATGGGAAGATGTTGTACATGACAGTTCATCTTGGCACTTATCTCTTCATTAGGGACTGGTAGCATGAGATGGCCACAACAGCAGCAGCAGTTCAACAAAGATAAAACAAAAAAATACCTAAATTAACGCCTCCCCTCACTTTCCTTTGTGGATTCCGACGCTCCATTTTGGGGGAAAAGGATAGACAAATTACTCCCTCTAACGGGGACATCATAAAAGGCATCTGATTAGGGGTGCTTCCTTTAAAATCATGGTGCAGCTGCCTGAGGGTGAGGAACTAACAGTCTGCATACAAATAAGCCAGATCTGTAAAATGGGTGTGCACACAAAAGTTTTGTTCTAGCACAAGACAGGTCCAGAAGTGGACAAATAACAGAAACTTTCTACCAGAGTTTACAGCCAGTGAATGTAGAGAAGAAGAAAAGGAATCTTCTACGGGGAAATACAAAAACACAAAATGTTCCCAAGACAAACAAACGTTTCAAGGACAGTGTAAAGATCTCATTGAAGTCATTTGGCATTGATCATGAAATATTGGAAGTCGCTGTACACAGCCGTTCATCTTGGTGCTCATCTCTTCAGTTGGGGAGTAGCAACTAGAGGCAGCCAAAGCAGTAGCAGAAGTTCATCAAAGACAAAACCAGAAAGGACTGAAGTTAATTCCCCTACTGATGCAGACAAATTCCCCTGCCCACACCACTCGAGAACATTCACTTTCAGGAATGGCTTTATTAGTCACTTAAGTACCCATTAACGTAACGGATCAAAGGATTGGCCATCATCTGTTGTAGTATGCTGTGATGAATATAGTATACACAGTTTCACAATGTGAAATTGGCATCAGTCAATGTAGAAAGTAAATACATAGTTCCTCCTCTTAGTGGGTTGTCATGACAGCAGCATCTGCAAAGAGCAGTTCTCTGATAAGTACTTTCCTAAACTTTGTCTCGGCTTTCAGTCAAATGGCATTGAAGGAGGCTGCAGGCTTGTTGGGTATGGGTAAACTTAAAAACCCTGGTGTTCCGGAAAGGCTTCTTTCAGAAAGAGTGATAAGTATATTCTAAAGAGGGTAGGGTATAAAGTACATGGCGCATTCCTGTTTTACATTTTCAAAAATTGAATGAAATGTTTATTTGCATGTGTTGTGTTTTAATCAGTCAGAAGGTCTGCAGGATTTTACCACACAGCAGTTACAGTTTGTCTTGCCTTGCCAAATTTATAAATTGCAAATATCTCTACACTTTGCTAATGTTTTCTGGATTTCAGCATAGCCAAGAATTCTTGGCCACATTGTGTACCTCACTGGAAGAGAAAGCCAAACAGTCTGACCAGGTATTCTCTCTTTTTCTTCTGGGGCAGGTGTTCCTCTTATGACCACCAGGGCCCCGTGTTTTGAGGGGGGAAAAGGGGTTGGGGGGGAGGGGGGGGGGGGTAGACCCACTGCCTCTCAGTTGTAAAGGGTGAGTAATTAAAGCTTTCTTTGCTGAAATCAGATGTGTTTGGTGGAAAGGTGCAGATATGACAGCCTAGCTGTATACCACAACACAGCATGCCAGCTGCTCTTTTAAAGGCTAACAGAGGAAGAAGAAGAAGTGTAAATGTCAAATGTAATGTGAGAATTCTTGGGTTCTTGATCTTTCTTTGAGTCAAACACAGCACATTCATGTTGACATCTGAATCTGTTTTAAGTTATTCACCGTATGGTTTCTGGGGCTTCATTGTGGGGAAAACAAGAATAGACCCACACTGCCTCCCCAACAAGCATGTCATAAGAGTTGACTAATTGGGGGTTTCCTTCGAAGTCGGCGTGTATCTGCCTGAGAGGCAAGGAACTAACAGATCTGTAAAACGGATGTGCGCATGCAGCACTTAGGTTCTGGAACAAGCCTAAAGTCCAGAGGTGGATGAACAGAACTTTCTGCCAGAGTTTACAGCGGGTAAATGGGAAGAAGAAGAAGTTCCAGGTTATTCACCTGTGGGTTTCCAGGCCCTCTTTTAGGGGGTAGGGGGTTGGTAGACCCTAAAAAGCATGTCAAAAAAATGGCGACTTAGAGATTTTGAAGCATCACAAGATATTTAAGGAAGATAAATTTATTATTCATCATAAAATATTCAGGGATGAGGAATTTTACTCATCAAAAGATATGTCATGAAACTGAATGTATTACTCATCAAAAGATATGTCATGAAACTGAATGTATTACTCATCAAAAGATATGTCATGAAACTGAATGTATTACTCATCAAAAGATATTTGATGAATATGAATGTATTACTCATCAAAAGATATGTAATGAATTGAATATGAACTTATTGCTCATCAAAAGATATTTAATGAATATGAAATTATTACTCATCAGAATTAATGTAATGAATATGAACTTATTACTCATCAAAAGATATTTAATGAATATGAATTGATTACTCATCAGGAGGTAGAAAAGCTGAAACAGGATGTTGAGGCAGTGCAGAAGGAACTGGCAGAAGTGAAGAAAGAGAGTCATAAACGGAAAAAGATGTTGATAGCTCAACAGCAACTGCTACATGTAGGAAATGAAAGTTATAACAAGGTATGCTGGTTGAATAGTAATATCATCGTCTTCATTATGTGCTTTCTGTTCCTATGTATAGTTGTATATCCTTTACTGAGTGTTGCAGAGCTGACCACAGCATTGTTTGGCTATTTATGATTTTACTATGCAGTTTTATTTTTAGTAGTTTGCCATTGTTTTCTCAATGGTCAGCCTCGACCATTGTTGAAATAAGGCAAAGTGGTCTCCTGTCAAGTAGCCCACAGTTGAAATTGAACCTGAAATCTATGAATTTATAACATGCATTAGCAGTGCTTAAACCACAGATGCCAATACGTACATGTAGGAGAGTGATAACAGTTCAGTGATCTTCAACAGTTTTGTGATAAAGTGTCCCCATGTACATATAACAGAGTCACTATATGCTGATTCTGTAGATGATGTAAAGAATCCCCTGCACACAGGTAGCTAAATGTTCGCAGTGGGAATCAACAGATGTGTGATAAAGTATCCCCATGTACATATAGCCTACTAACTTAATGCTGGTTTACTGGTTTTCAGACTAACTGGTTCTGCACTACTTTGTGCTGAACTGATGCATAGCAGGCTAGATGTTTTAAGGGTCCTATGGAAGTGTGAACAGTGCTGAGGCACACATAGATTATCCTGGTCTGAGGAGAAGGTGGCTGCAAGGGGTGACTTGAGAATCTGGTTTACGCTCAGTACTCAAGGGAAAGGCCAGATGGATGTACAGTCAGACTGTTACTTGTGCCATTGTAATTGGAACTGTGGACTTTCGTCTCGATTCTTAATTCAGCATTTAAAATTCAACATTGGTTTTCAACAGACATGTAGTAAAGGGCCTCTATATGCTTATAGCCTAGTCACTGAATGTTGCCTGTGTGGTTCTTCAACAGACATAAAGGGTTCCCTTGTACGTATAGCTGTCATAATAGTTTCCATATACATATAGTGGCGTCCGTGGCTTAGTTGTTGCGACTCCTACTCGTAATTCCAATTTACCGCAATCGAAACCAACTGCTGGCTACATGGATTTTTATCGTGGTATGGGGCGTCGCAGGTCGACCCAGCCTAAAAGGTGTACCAGGATGGGTGTGCTGGGGAAGTAAAGACTACCGGCGTAATGCTGACACATTACCCACCATTGCCCACTGGTCTGTAAAAATATGGGTGCTCTTCCTAAATACCCGATGCGCCTAAAAGGCGTGAAAGGGATCTTTACTTTACTCTTACTAACATATACATATAGCTGCATCAGTGAATGTTGGTTTGGTGGTTCTTCAACAAATATGACATAAAGGGATCCTGTGTACGCATAGCTGTCACAGTAGTTCAGTGGTCTGTTAACAGAAGGGACATAAATTACCCCATATGCACATAGTTGAATCAGTGAAGATCAGCTTAGTGGTTCTTCCACAGATGTGACAAAGGGTTCTGATTAACATACAGCGGTCACAATAGTTCTTTTTTTTTATTTTTAAAAATTTAAACAGAAGGGATATAGGTTCTCCATATACATACATCTGAATCATTCAGTGTCAGTTTAATGGTTCTTCTTCAACAGATGTGACAAAAAGGGTTCCCATTTACATACAACTGTCGCATTGTTCAGTTATTTTAAAAAAAATATTATTAACAGAATGGAGATAATGTACTGTATATTCATACAGCTGAATCATTCAATGTCATTTTAGTGGTTCTTCAACAGAGGTATTATATAAGGTTCCCTTTTACATACAACTGTCACATTGTTCAGTTTGAAAAAAACCAACATTATTATTAACAGAAGGGACATAAAGTACTCTATATACATATTGAATGTCGATTTAGCGGTTCTTCAACAGATGTGATAAAAGGGTTTTTCATTTATATACAACTGTCACATTGTTCAGTTTGAAAAAAACCAACATTATTATTAACAGAAGGGACATAAAGTAGTCTATATATATATATATTGCTGAATCATTGAATGTCGATTTGGCGGTTCTTCAACAGATGTGATAAAAGGGTTTTTCATTTATATACAACTTTCACATTGTTCAGTTTTAAAAAAAAACAACATTATTATTAACAGAAGGGACATAAAGTACTCTATATACATATTGAATGTCGATTTAGTGGTTCTTCAACAGATGTGATAAAAGGGTTTTTCATTTATATACAACTGTCACATTGTTCAGTTAAAAAAAAAAAAAAAAAATTATTATTAACAGAAGGGACATAAAGTACTCAATATACATATTGCTGAATCATTGAATGTCAATTTAGTGGTTTTTCAACAGATGTGACATATCGTGACCTCATGTGTGTGTGTGTGTGTGTACGTGCGCATGTATATATACACACACACACACCCTCACACACACACACACACACACACACACACACACACATATATATATATATATATATATATATATATATATAATAGCTGATCATTAAATGTTCTCTAAGTGGTCTTTAAAAGTTAAATCCGTTAGTTATATATACAGCTGCTAGTATATGGTCTGCTTTACTTAGAGTTCTGTTCTGATTAACAGCTTGTAAGTGGAATTGGTCGTAAGTCGAATTAAAAATTCTTTTTAAAAATACTATTTTTAACTAGACGGGTTGTAAAAATGGTACACAAAAACACACAAATCAATCTGTTTGCCTATTATTATTGTACGTCAGCATCTGTGTACACTCTAGGCACCAGTACAGGGAACTTTGTGACCCTACTAGTGTATTCATCTTTCTTTATTTATTGTTTTTGGTTATTTATTGTTTTTTGAAGGTTTAGTACAAATGTTGATAAGTTACATAAGTGGTGGTGAATTGATGTATGACAGGTTAGATATTGTGAGGGCCCTTTGGGAGCGAGTAAACAGCACTGATGCTCAGATAGATCATTACGGTCTAAGGAGAATGGTGATGCGAGGAGTTACTAGGGGATCTGGCTGACGCTCAACCCTCAGGGTGAGGATGAGATGGATATACAATCAGACGGTTACTAGTACCTTCTGAATTGGAACTCTTCGCTTGCTGCTGATGATGGGGGACTGAACACTTATGGGAGTGTCCTGAGTGCTGTGATGTCGATTCTCAATTCAACATTCTACATAAGTCATAACCCGAGGAGAAGGTGTACATTAATTATTAAAATATTGGTTTCCCTTTTACTGTCATATATTTATAGATTTCCTCTTATATTGTTATTTGCAGTGTCCCTTCTGTGCCAAAGCCTTCATCAACAACTCTTACTTGCAATCACACATCATCCGGCGACATTCTGCCATCTCAGGCAACAAAGACATTTCTAGTCCCATCAGTCCAGACCTAGGAGTGGGATCAGAGAGTGGGCGAAACAACATAGAGGCCGAAATTCTTCACCTCAAAGAGCGGCTGCTTAAATATGAAGCCGAGCACCATGAGGACAAACAAACGGTGACATCAAACAGTATCAGGAAGGTATGTTTTTCTCTGGCTTAGAGGTTAGTGGATGTGTTTAACAGTTTCTTGATCCCTAAGTACTTGGGATCACTGTCGTAGTGGAGGGTTTCTTTTTCCTCTTCAGTAGTCCGAGCCCTTGAGGTTCATTGCTGCAGATATCACCCGCCTCCACTCATCTCTCTGGTTGGCCTTCTGATTCCAATTGGTGGCACCAAGTGTTTGTAGGTCTATCTGGACATTATCTCTCCATACTCTTCTTGGTCGGCCTCGAGGTCTACATGGAGGGTTTATTATTATTATTATTATTGTTGTTGTTTAAAACATTCTTGTTTTTGGGCAGCAGTCTAAGAGACACAAAGAGATTGGGGTCCCACTAAAAAATATTCCTTTGTGTGGCAGTGGTTGCACTGTAGCCAACCTTTTTTGTGTTGCGTTGCTAATCATCATCATCATCATCAAGTGTCTTGCTGACTGCCATGGGTGATCATATTAGAGTCCCTGTCAGCGTGAATCATCAGTTTATACCTTTCCATTCTAAAATGTTCTGGATCAAATGGCACTCATTAGGGGATATTGTTGGTGTCATGTCGACTGCTCCTAAAGCTATCTTCTCTTGCACTCATTAGTGATACTGTCACTATCATGTTGACTGCTTATAAAGTTCTCCTGCACTCATTAGTGATACTGTCAGTATCATGTTGACTGCTTATAAATTCTCCAGCACGCATTTGTGATTTTGCCAGTATCATGTCGACTGCTCATTAAGTTCTCCTGCACACATTTGTGATATTGTCATTACCATGTCGATATTAAGATGTAATATTTCATTTATTTTTGCATTTTAAGAATTAATTTTGACACCTGTTTCTACTTGCAGAGCACCAAACTTCAAGTCACACAAGTGAACCAGAACTCATCAGTGCCCATGGACAATTTGGAGGTTTGTCAGTTCATAATTTGTGGTGCAAAGTTAGAAGAAATGGGTGCAGTGGACTTCTTCTTCTTCTGCTGCTGTCTTACTTTCATCTTCCGATGGAGCATAATCCTCAACAGACTCAGTTTTTTGGTGTGAATCCAGTATGGAAGTACACACATCAGATGTAGTAACTGACTCACCCACAGTAAACAGACTACTATTTGCTAATGAACAGTGCTTGTTCTACCCTGAAGAAGATAGACTGCAAAACATATAACGGGTTAAATTCAGCATACAGTAAATACATCATGAAGATCAATGCAAACAAAACCGATACAATACAAGTTAGTAAAACCCCTGGCCCACTACACATACAGCTGAATGGTTCTGGTTTGAAACAAGTTAGGGAATTTAAAAATCTAGGAAGTATCACAGAAGATGGTGGAATTGACAGAGAAATAGAAACCAGATGTCAGAAAGCAAGTGCACTTATATGCCAATTTTTGTTACTATTATTAAAACTTCCAATCATAACTGTAAGTTCAAAGAATCAGATTATAAACAGCATATTCATACCAACATTAAGCTACCAGTGCCAAACTTGGACACAATCTAAAGCCCGTGTATGCAAAATCACCACTTGCAATATGAGATGCCTGAGAAAAATCACCAACCATCTGAGATAGAATGAATAATGATACTATCAGAAAAATTGTGGGAACCACACCTTGTACTAGATTCATCGAGAAACATCATATCAAGTGGTTTGGCCATCTCTTTAGAATGCAGCAAGATCAAGTACCACACAGGCACCACACCTCAGAAGATCAGCTACAAGACCAAGAGGATGGCTGCGAAAAATATGGATCGACAACATCAAAGACACTCTACGCCTTCACGGCATGACAGAAGTCAGTGGCAGCCAGCATGCATTGGATTGCAAATTGTTCCTCCCCATGATGCTTAACGGCAGAGGTGGATTATGATAATGGTGATGAATCCAATATGAGCAAATCCCATAATTCCTGTTCAGCCAGATAAAACAATTTTACTGGAACATCCTTGAATTAAAATTAACCTACTATCCTGTAAGGTGAGGTCCATGACACATTTTTTTTCTTTTTTTAAATAAAAAGAAAAAAACTTTTTTATTATCAAAAAAGTCTGTAAACTTATGGAAGTCTGAATGAGAATGATGAAGAACATAAAGTATGTGAGACGGAGGGAAAAAAACAACAGGTGTACAAATGACATTATTTTTAAATTAAATGACCAGCTGTAAACTCCATTGAAAAGTTCTGTTTATTCGTCCACTTCTGGACTTTGTGTTCCAGGTCTTGAGTTTTGCCCTAAATAGGTTTGCACAGATCTGGCTTATTTCACTGCAGACTGTAGGCTCCTTGTCTTTTGGGCAGATGCAATGTCCCACTTAAAACAAATGATCAGCCCTATCTGTGTTGGCCAGGCTTCTGGTAGGATGACTTTTTCTAGGATGACATGTAGAGATGTAGGTAGGTCTGTAGGTAGGTCACCCTTTATCAGAACTATCTGTGTTGGCCAGGCTTCTGACAGGATGCTTTTTTCTAGGATGACATGTAGAGATGTAGGTAGGTCTTTAGGTAGGTAGGTAGGTCACCCTTTATCAGACCTATCTATGTTGGCCAGGCTTCTGGCAGGATGCCTTTTTCTAGAATGACATGTAGAGGTGTAGCTGAGTCTGGAACAGCATGAGCCTTGGTCCGGGTGTGCCACCACATGTGGTTCAGCACCTCTCCATCCTTCTTCTTTAATGGTCTCACTGATAGAAGGTTGTAGCCAAGTGTATTTGTCTCGAGCTTCTCGGGTGGCTTGGGTGAGGGATTTGTTCATCTTTCTGCAGGTTTTGGCTACACCATTTATCCCTCACCGCCTTCCTCCTATATGTTCTGCTATAATAAATGTTTCATCTGCAGTTTGGCATGGCTACATTCTCACTAGATGGCCGAACCATTTCATTCTTTGTCTGTCAATATAATCCAGATATGGTCTTATTCTGATATTCTTTTTAATGCTGGTATTTGTAACCATGTCTCTTCTTGTGTTGTTAGTGACCTTACAGAGACAGCACATCTCACATGTAGTTATTTTCTGTTTTAGTGCCCTATTCTTTGTCCATGTTTGGCACTGATAGGGGTAAAGATGCTGTTGTCTCCATCCTTGACGCCAGGTAATTAGTCAGGATTATCATCACAGCATTCTGGACTGATCCATAGATGCTGTGGTCTCCTCCTCTTTAGCTCTGAAAGCATATCATGACTCATGACTATTATTCTGTATTGATTATTTAAAGGTCCTTTGCCCTTATTGAAATGTTCATGTCTAGTGGATCCAGATCATCATCATCATCATGTGCCTTGCCGTGGGCGATCATGCCTCTCCATAATATGCGATCTCCTGCAGCATGTATCAGTTCGTGTGCCGACACACCTCCATGCCATACAACAAGACTGTCAAGCATCTTCTCTTGTTGTCTTCCTCTATCTCTCCTTCCACATATCTTTCCAGTGGTCACAACATGTTCTATTTTCCCTCTTCTCATAACATGGCCGAAAAATGATGACTGTCTTCTTCTGATGTCTGTGATAAGTTGTCTTCGGGCTCCCGCCTCTTTCAAAACCCCTTGGTTGCTCTTTTTGGCTGTCCAAGGTATCTAAGCATTCTTCTGCAAAACCACATCTCCGAGGCTTCCAGAAATTGTTTGGCCTGCCTACCGATTGTCCAGGATTCACAGCCAGATAGTATAGTCAAAAAGAAAAAAAAAATTGAAGCCTAAGCAGAAATAACTGTCAGTAGTTTTGTATTACCATGATTATTTGTCAGTCTTTTATGTAGTAATAATAATAGTTAATCTGTTTGCAGGAAGGAGAGAAGATTGGAATGAGTGCAGCTTTAATGAAGGAGTTAAGAGAGCTTAATGCAAAATATCAAGCATCCCAAAAAGCTTTGCAAGAACTTGAAGCTCGAACAGGAGGTAAAGTTTCTTCCTGTTTGTGTCTCATATGTAACAATTTTTGTGGGCACCTTTAATTCTTTCCATACGATAGTGTTATGTATGTTTCCAAGACCAATTGAGGACAGAGATGAAGCTGCTCCTCTCATATCGCAAAGCCTGAGAAATATTGCAGAGACCATGCTTTGCTCGCACAGCCATGATCAATCCTCTATCCTTCTTTGTTTATCCTAAAGGGAAGGTAACAGTGCTAATTCTTAGCATTCACCGTCTGTAAACTCTGAAAGATCTGGTTGTTTGTCCACTTCTGGATCTGAACCTTGGTCAAAAACTTGAGCTTTGTGTGCACATTTGTTTTACAGATCTGGCTTACTTTTTATGCAAACTGTTGGTTCCTTGCCTCCCAGGCAGATGAATTTAGACTTCATTGAGTGAAGTGCTCAGGATTTATTAAATGTCAAGTTTGGGTTCTTTATTGATATCTACCCCAGATGACATCACAGAACAGTCCAACATTTTAGAGGGGGGGGGGGGTGTAAGACTGGGTTTCCTGGCTTTCTGATTGCTTTTAGCGACCCTTAAACATCTAGAACTGACCCTAACCCCAACCCACCTACGTCCCACAAAAGAGTGCAGCCTAGGTCCCACGACTGCATGCAGCCTATCTGCCACCCTCTGAAATATTACACTGTCCCGTGACCTGTGGATTTCCCCTGTTTGGGGTAGGATATTAATAAAGCACCCAAGTTTGAAAGTGAAACTGAATTTCACAAATGTAATGTGCATAGATTAGAGTAGGGATCACAGGACCGTCATTATGAAAGCATTGACAGCCAAGAGTCTTCCAAGGATCTCTGTCCACAGTTCCATGCACACATGTGAAAATGTTGCTTTCCTTCTGCTGTTTAATATTGTCTGACCAGGATTTTCTCTCCATTGCTGTTTTTTTTTCTGTCCCCCGCTCAGCTGTTAACATTTAGAGGGTGTCAGTATGATGATAGGAAGACATAAAGACAATTTAGAAATTAAAGTAAAAAACAACACCCTGAGAAAAACAGAGGAATTTAAGTATTTGGGAGTAATTTTTACATCAAATGGAAAACTGGACAGAGAAATTAGCTCCAGATGTGCCAAAGCTAATCAAGTAATGGGTCAACTATCTCCCCTGTTGACACACAAGCAGATACCTCGGAGTACTAAAGTGAATCTTATCAGAACTATTTTTTGGCCATCACTATGCTATCAGTGCCAAATGTGGACACTCACATACTCCAATGAACGTAAAATTGTTACAACAGAGATGAAATGCCTTAGAAGAGCTGCAGGAGTTTCAAGGATAGGCAGAATACGAAATCATGAAATCAGATGAATGCTAGGAATAAAGCCAGTCATACAGGCCATCAAAAAACAACAAATAAAGTGGTTTGTTTGGACACCTAACAAGAATGCCCTGGTACTATCCGCCACAGTGAGCCACATTAAAACATTACAACGGGTATAGAGTGAGTGGAAGACCTCGGAAAATATGGATTGATGGCATTAAGAACAGCCTTACAGAAATGAACATCAGTCTTAATAGAGCTCTTGACAGAGCTCATCAACGAACATCTCCCCCCGACACTTCGATGAGGTACAAGGTGGAAGAGAAGAAGAAGAAGTATGTAAGGGATCTCAAACCAGGGCAAGCTTTTGGCACTGCCTTAAAGTAAAGGTATATTAAAGGACCCCTTACCATACCTTCAGCTTGGGCATATAGGGCTAGACTTATATTTATAGACCAATCGGCACTTGGTGGGTGATGTGGTCACCATCACACCAGAAAGTGGTCTTAAGTGAGGCAGTATTCAAATCAAGTGCTGCTGTGTGGCTTAGAGGCTAGTGATTGTGTTTAACGGTTTCATGATCCTCAAGTACCAGGGTTAAGATTTCATCGTTGATGGTTCATTTTGAAAAAAAAAAATGTTTTCCTGATCTTTGGTTAGTTGTGGTGAAGTCGTACTATAGAAGAGATTTGGGCTTCACCATGTAATATTTCCAGGGGCCAGTGATACACTGTGGCCAACCTTCATTGTGAAGTAAGCACACATGTGTTTTGTGTGTGTGTGTGTGTGTGTTAATGAATTCAGATCATCATTTGTGACTTTTTTTTTTTCAGGTAAAAGATCTTACTTGGGTGACCTGGAGGATGAAGTCGAGAATGAGAAAGAATTGTTGAAGGAACAGAGGAGTGAAGTTGCAGCCTTCAAAGAGCAACTGCAGCAGCAGGTTGGTGGCTTTGTTAGCTGTGTCAGTTAATTGTTTTAATTGTATCCATTTGAAAGGAGGGGGGAAATAAAGCCACTGCCCCCTAACAGACATGTCATAAAAGGTTACTAACTAGTGGTATGCTGACATCCAGTATTGCAGTCTAGCTGTAAACCCTCACCATGGTGTGCCAGTTGCTGTTACTGCATCCTTACTACCCTTAGTGCAAATGTCCATCTGCATTTACTACCCTTACTATATCAGCACCCGAGAAGGCAAGAGTGCTGCGGCAGTCATGCCCAATCAGGGAAAAACACCACCTAATGTGTACTGGTAGGGACTAGTGCATTCTGGGAGTGAAACTAATTTACCCTGTATGACTGAACGTTGGTTCCTTTACAGAAAGCAACCCTGTACATGGAAGCAACGCACCAAATTTGACATCAAGAAGGTCCGTTATTAAGCACAATAGCTGTAAAAGATGTTCAAGATAAACCGTCATAATGAAGGATAACCATATAAAGATCACAGTTATAACCGAAAGCTTTTATAAGCTGATTGAATGCGATTGAAACTTGTGTTTTCTGCTTCTTCAAAGATACTGTCAAGCAACAGCCCTTTCAAGGGCACACGGGAAAGAAGATGTTGATGTGTTGAAGCTGCTTCAGTGGCTTCTGAAATAATCTGGCAGTTGTTTGAGGTGACGAATGAAGAGGTTTTGGGGGGGGGGGGGGGGGATTGTTGCAGCTGGTATAGAAACTAGTAGTTTGAAGCTTCTGTAAGGATTTGTTCTTGGTGGCTGAATATTTTAAAAAATGTAAATGAAAACAATATTTTTGGTATCCATTTTGGGTAACCTCCATCACCTTCCTTTCTTTCCTCCGGTTCCTTTCTCACTCCCTACCCCTTTTTTTCTTTCAAAGCAAACAAACGGCAAAATAACTGACCACCGACAATAAAAATCATTTTGGAAATTGATTAACAAAAGGATGTAGAAAATGCAGTACAGACTTCACGAGCAAAGAACAAAACTACTACAGACTGTGGCCTGAAAAAAGATTAACATTTCAACCAATTTTTATGTAATGTGAATTAAGTGGGTTAACAATGCTCTTTATTAAATTGGTGCCCTCCCTTTATTTTGTTCCCTCTCTTTGTTTAGTCCCCTCTCTGTGTCTGTGAGAGAGAGAAAATGTGCACACATAACAAGATCAACAGGTAGCAGGTCTTTTGCAGAACATCACTCTCATCATGGTCTGCTTGAAAGAAACTGTCTCTCACCAGCTCTCCCGCCTCTTGTATGTTCATTTCCGAGGAGTCATCTATATCCTGTGCCCATCTTCGTGTTGGTTGGCCCTTGCCCTTCCTTCCTGGCACCATGCCTTCTGTTATTATTTTTTTCCCCAATCTGTCATGGCTCTTGATATAACAAAAATATTTCAGCTGTCAAGACAGGATGCTGTTTATTAGCCAATCTTCCTTGATGTTAAGATCTTTTACAATGTCATTATTTCTTCTCTTTTTTTGTCCATGGTATTCTGAGAATCTTTCTGTAGCCTTTTAGCTCAAAAGACCCTTTAGCTCTTAATGACTAGAAGATAGTCCAAGACTTACATCCGTTTTTTGCTACAGGGAAGATGCATGCTCTCAGAATTTCAATTTTGATTTCCTTGCTGGTGCTTAACCATAGACTTTTAATGCTGTTTAAACACATAGCTGCATGCAATAAAATCATGTCATTTGTGTGCCTCATCAGAGAATGACATTGATGGCATCATTATGACAATACCTGTTTGTCTTTTTGACTTCAGTGGTCTAGGGTAGGGCTAGCTATTCCAACTGAGGTCCCGACGTTTAGAAAAATGGGGATTGTCGCAGACCCCATCTTATAAAGATCGAAAAAGCAATAAAACTGGAGCTATGATCCATGGGCCACTTGCTAGGGCCGTGGACCGCTAGTTGAATATTCCTGACCCAGGGCTTCTCCCCCTCCCCCCCCCCCCCCCACACATTTTCCTGTAATTTTGTTTTCTTCTTCTACTTTGCCTATACCAGCTGTAAACTCTTGCGGAAACTTCTGGTTGTTCATCCACCTCTGGACTTTAGACTTTTTCCAGAACTTGCATGCACATCCATTTTTCAGATCTGACTTATTTGTATGCAGACTTGGTTCCTTGCTTCTCAGGCAAAGTGCTCCGACTTCAAAGGAAACCCCCAATTAGTTAGCTCTTACCATGTGCTTGTTGTGGAGGCAGTGGGTCTATTCTTGTTTCCCCCACAATGGGGCCCCGGAAACCCACACAGGGATGTAATCGTGTGTAACCTGGACATGTGTAGTTACTGCTGTTATTTGACCAGCTGGACCTGATGAAGAATCACATGGAGACCAAGTTGACCAAACAAGAGCGGAAATGGCAAAAGAGAATGCAGCACATGACCCAGGAACATGCCAGCGAAATTAAAAAGGTGAGATTGATTTCTTGCCTCCAGAATCTGAATTCTTTTTTTTTTTTTTTTTTATTGTCCGTGTTTTGTTTCACTGACATATGTGAGTTGTAAATTTTAAAAAATCTGTTTATCATTTATGTGTCCATTGTACCTATAAAAAGTTATTTAAAAAAAAAAAATCAATTGTTAAAAAATCCATTCATGATTTACATGCACGTTTAACCTTTTCTGGGAGCCTGAGTAGCGTAGTGGCTTATCGTTCACCTGCCGGCTCAAAGGTCTAGTGTTCAAATCCACATCAGATTGAAGAAAAAGTAAATACTGACCTTGGCTGACAGGTTGACCCTTTCTAACTGACTGGCAAAGTCTGACCAGCAGTCTTGTTAGACAGGCTCTGGAGTTTGCTTTGATAAGCCGTAACCACATGCAGCAGAGTTAGCAAGATCCGTTCAGTGCTGGGGTGTGACATCTTCAGCTTTTACATATTCTTTATTCCTTTCTGTACTACTGTTCCTACGCAGTTAATTTATAGAAAAATTACCAAGTTCCATTTTGTTTTGGCTAGGCTAATTCTGGAGCCATACTGGAAAAAAAAAAGGAATCGTGCACTGCTTGGAATTGAATCCAGACTATTGACTTTGTGAACAAATGCACTGGTCAATATGCTGACAGCCATAGCAGCTGGCCTAATGGTTAGTCCTGCAGGAGGGAGCCCTTCACCACCATAAAAGCTGTAAATACAGACAGAACTGAATCGTCCTCGTGTATTTTTGCCAGATGGCATAGGCATTTATATCTCTCCACAAATGTTGGTCCTTGATGATCTGGATCAGTTCTGTGATTTTAACTTTTTTCCCCCTTCACTCATTGCCATGTTGTGTCATTGTATGTCACAAAGGGCTCACAGTCTATTCCTCCATTCGCTTCTATTGTGTGCAGTCTGATATCACAGATGGGATCAAGTCTAGCACCTTTGGCTTCTTGCATCGGTGTTTGCCTTAGAAGAAGGACTTGTTTCCTATTAATGTCCTCGTTTCCTCAGTCCCTATCATTACGGTCTGTGGAGAATGGCGCTTCAAGGGAGGACTTGCCAGGGGATCTGGTCCATGCTAAAAACTCAAGGGCAAGGCGAGACGGATATACAATCTGACAGTTACTGGTGCCATCAGAATTGGAACTCTTCCTTTGTTGCTGAAGATGTGGACGGAGCACTTATGGGAGTGTCCCGAGTGCTATGATGTCAATTCTTAATTCAACATCTCAATCCCTCTATTTCCTGTTCTACCTGTTGGTGATTTTCTGCTGGTTTATTCTCTGGATGTGGGTAATATAGCACCATCTTCTCTGTCTTATAACTGTTGATACTAGCTTTATCTATATAAAACTATATTTGATATATTTGGTTGCTTACAGTCCTTACAGGGCAAGGATGTTCTTAAACAGCCATTAATATAATTCCCTGACTCAGATGTGTTTCGATTAATAGAAGATAGAGACGATAAAATTGCACTTTCCCTTTACCTTCCACACCCACCTAGTTGTGTGGTACTTTTGACTTTGACAGTATTTTATCTGTGTCAAAACAACTTATTGCCATAGCCTGCTAAGTTTTAGACTTTTCCAGTTACAGCTATGGATACTCAGATGCCCAGAACTGTGTGTAGACACAGCACTAACTGATGATGTTTATGTGTAAATTCTGTATATATTTTTCACACAATTATTTTTTAGCTAAACAATGCTTTAGAGACAACCAGTCGTTCACAAGAAGAATACCAGAATCCTAAACTGTCGAAACAACAACAAGAAGTTCAAGAGATTTTGAGGGTAAGTTCCTTGATGCTTGATTTTAGCAAGGGGGGGGGGGGGGGGGGGGGGGGGGGGGGGGGGGGGGGGGGGGTGATTCTGCTTTACAGCTATACTTTAAATTTGTGGGAACTATTATAACACAATGTCTTGATCAGTGGTTTTCAGAATAAGGGGTGGGTGGGGGGTACAAGCAAATTTTGAAATTGAGTGCATTTGTACTCATAATAATCTATTATAAAAGTATTTTGTTTTTAAATATTATTATAAATAAAATAATTTTTAAAACTCTTCTTCTTCTTCTTCTTTGCATTCACCAGCTGTAAACTCTGGCGGAAAGTTCTGGTTGTTCATCCACTTCTGGACTGCAGCCCTGTTCCAGAACCTGAGTGTTGCGTGTGCATCGGCTTTACAGATTTGACTCATTTATGCAGACTGTTGGTTCCTTGCCTCAGGCAGATGCAGTCCGACTTCGAAGGAAGCTCCCAGTTAGTTGACTCTTACGCTTTGGGTAGGCAGTGGGTCAATTCTTGTGTTCACCACAATAGGGCTGTGGAACCCACACGGGGAATTTTTTTAAAACTAGCAGCCATCATCGAGACAAAGCAGTGTCAACCATCACATTAATATTTGGACACTAAATCACCAGTTGGTGCTTGATTCTCTTATGTTTCTTTTGACACTTTGATTTACGTGAATGTTTATCTCCAAGTTCTTGTTTTCTTTTTGTTCTAATCTTTTTAATCACAATATTTAAAAGTTGGTTGGAAAAGGGGAGCGGAAGGAATCTTGCCATATATTGAAAAAGGGGGGATAATTTAAGAGTGTGACTAATATCTGTGAGATGCCATATTTTATATACTTGGTTGGTATTACTATATTCTTCTTCTCCAGCTGTCCAGAGAGCGAGAGAAGGAACTGGAAATACAGGAGAAACTGATAGAGAAGGAAATTATTCGAGCGGTACTGATTTGTTTATTTCTTAATTAGTATTAGTAGTTAAAAAAAACTAGATAACATAAATCAGTCCCATGCATCGCAGCATACACAATTTTATGTTTATTTTTAATTTGATTTGTGTGTGTGTAATTATTGATCATTTTCAACTTTTCAAATATCCTTCTCTCCGTTCCCCCTTCTCTCTCTTTCTTTCTCTCTCTTTCCTTATCCTTCCGCTCTCTGTGCATACACAAAAACACATGCATATGTGCATACTCATGTGGTGCATATGTTTGCAGGCGGGTGTGAATATGCCATCTTTTCTACCAAAGGCATAAAATGTAACATATGCTTTTAACATTTTAAGTCATTTGAAGTAGTATTTTCCTGTTGTGAAATTAAATATAGACACAAACAGTGTACAGAAAAAGAAAAATTCATTGTCTAGCATATTTCGCACTGCCTTGTTGGGTGCATTCGACAAAACGCATAATTTATTTCAGTCAGTCAGGTGCAGTCTCTGCAAGGCAGGCTGGCTACAGTGGCATCTCCAGCTCTCTCTGTCTCTTGTCTTGGTAGTACAGTCTCTCAGACCACTGTTTATCCATCTCTTGATGTTGTCCTCCCACTTGTATCATTGTCTGCCTCTTGCTCTCTTCAGAAAACCCAGTGAAGGAGCCACATTTTGTGCTCTGTTAGTAATGCACCTGATGCCATACAGCAAAATATGCCGGCCAGTAAATCATCATGTAGACGTTTTATGTCCTCATTATTTGAATTATAAGTTATTCCGTTCATCTTCACATTGTGTTTAACGTGTAACCTTACCTTACTAATTTTTTTTAGTTTCTTACTGAGTTATTCTGAAAAACCCTGAAGGACCCTTTTTTTTTAAACATCAGTGGCACATCTTAGTTAATTAGTTAATTAGTTAGTTAATCGACAGATTATCCTCATTGCACATCTTAGTTAATTAGTTAGTTAATCAACAGATTATCCTCATTGCACATCTTAGTTAATTAGTTAGTTAATCGACAGATTATCCTCATTGCACATCTTAGTTAATTAGTTAGTTAATCAACAGATTATCCTCATTGCACATCTTAGTTAATTAGTTAGTTAATCAACAGATTATCCTCATTGCACATCTTAGTTAATTAGTTAGTTAATCGACAAATTATCCTCATTGCACATCTTAGTTAATTAGTTAATCAACAGATTATCCTCATTGCACATCTTAGTTAATTAGTTAGTTAATCGACAGATTATCCTCATTGCACATCGGCAAGTCCATAAGCATTCGGATCCTATCTTCATAATATCCCTCAGCGTGTAGCGACTGATAACAGCTGTTCTGTGTTGGTTTACGATTCTTCTTTTTGCTACCTTTATAGTGTTCATGTTTGGTGACACCTCTTTTAACCTGAAGTTCTTGTAGTGTTTTGAGCATTACCAAATTACCGTCGTCTCCTGAATCATCTTCTCGTCCTGCTTCCTTAAGAGCATTGAGAATGTCGGTTCGGTTCATTGCTTTTCCTGTACCTATCATGGCCCTGTGAGCAAGCCAATCTGCTTGTTCATTCAATCTTACCCAAGAGTGTCCAGGCACAAAAATGAAACGAATTCCTATCAGATGACATTTCTTCAGCAACTCGATAACTTTCTTTGAATCCATCCTGTCTCTATCTTCTTAAGCATGCGCATGGAATCACTTAGAAAGCATGCATGGGGAAAATTGCTGTGTCTCTAGCCACATCATGGCTTTTGTTATCGCTATCACCTCCGTCGTCCTCATCTGTGAGGAGCTATTGGCCAAATGGATAAGATTGCTGAGTTGTCCTGTGGGAGGCCTAGATTAGTATTCTCTGTAAGATTCTAAGTTTTTCTTTTCTGTGAGAGGCAAGAATAAATTCCTAACTTATAAAGCCTGTGGTGACTGCACTAGCCATGCAACCCTAAATCCTCAGGCTCAAAGATTCCCATACCTTTGCCTACGTCGCAAAAATGTTATCAGTCTTATGATGCAGGACTCATATTTTTATAGACAAGTCTGCACGCTGGTTAATGAGGTCAGTATTACGCCGGCTGAAATTACTTCCCAGGACACTACCCGTTACCTATTCTAGCCTGGGTCAGCCTGAAAGCAAAAGTTAATTTTGAGGAACATCCACCTCAGTGTGGACCCAAACCAAGACTGTCGGGCACATGTCTAGCCTCTATGTTACTATGGCTGCTTGCTGCGCCGCCGCCTTCTTTCTTTTTGTGTTCCCTGCCTGTGAATTTGAGAAGGCCACAGGCCTCAGTAAAGTCTGTGGTGTGACACATGTCTTCCCCTGTTTCATGCGGCTTGGTTTCCATTGGAATGCCAACTTGCTAAACCTGGGATCTGTCTACTGCAGTAGTTCTCAACCATTGGGTTGCAACTTTTTTGGGGGTCAGACGACCCTTTCACAAGGATAAGACGATAGGAAAACACATATTCATTGAAGTTGTGAAGTAGAAATGAAAATAATTGTATGGTTGGGGGTCGTCACAACATGAGGAACTGTATTAAAGGGTCATGGTATAAGGAAGGTTGAAAGCCACTGCTCTGCTGTATGTAGAGAGCATGTTTATATTTGATGTTAATTGTTGAGAACACAAACAATGCATATGACTGATCAGTGTTGTATGTAAATGTTATTTCTGTCTACAGGTGGAGTCTAAGACCAAAAAGACTTCTAAAGCAGCTCGAGTGGAATCAACACAAGTCACAGCTCTGCATGGGGCCCCTGGGTTGTCCTCCACTCCAGGGGTGAAACAAGGTCAGATGTACCCTAGCGATGATGAAGGAAGTCCAGGTAGAATTATCTTTTTCCAGATGGCTTTGTAAATTGGTTAATGGACTTAACTGTTTGTTCTCTCTGACCTATTTCTAAGTAGATATTTTAACAAATGCCTGAGACAACTGAAGAACATAAAACGGGATGAATTCGAGAAGGGTGAAGAAATATCTAGGCATCTGCTAATATCAACAGTTCAAAGACAGAGAGGATGTTGCTATATTGGACACATCCTAAGAAGAAACTAGCAGAGAATCACCAAACAGGAACTAAAATGGGAATAAAGGGATTAAGGAGGCGAGAACAGCCAAAAGAAACCCTAAAGCGAATGTTGATGAGAGAGGCCAAAGGGGCTGAACTGGATTCCGTCCATGATATTGAATTGATTGCACAGGGTAGAATGGAATGGAGGAATAGACTATGAGCTCTGTGTGACATATATGGCACCACAGGACAATGGTAACAGTGAGGATGATTTTAGCAGTGATACTGCTGTTTCATGTCTTCACTTTTCCAACAGTAGAAAAACATTGTAAAATGAATGCTAGAAAAATATGTAAAACAGACATACACACATGTGAGGACCTTGCTTTGCATGGTGGCCCACGCTCACAGCAAGCCGACCAGAAAATCCATGTCAGAGACTGTGGCACAGGATACTTGGGCTTAAGGAGATGAACGAGGAAAAACCAGAGGTTGGCTCTTGGTCAGTTATGTACCATAGTTCGAGGAAGACGGTTGTGATATTGTTTAACTGAAACGTATGAAACGTCATGTGAGGGAGTATAGTAGGATTATTGTGGAAGTGAGCAGGGATGGCTATGATTGTTTAAACTGTGATTGTGAAGTATGAGAATCGGAAGGAATCAACTGGCAGAATTTACATCGGAATTTGAGTGTCGTTCTGCGTTGTCAGTTGTAGAGAGTTGAATCCGTTCCCAAGTGTGTAGTTCTGCACATGTGTGACAAGGTCACTTGAACTAATGAAGTAATAATGATAGCAATAATGTGGAAACTCTAGACTGGAAGCTAGGAAAGAATGTAGATACATTGAAAGTAGCAGCATTATTACAAGAAGAGGCTCGTCTGGGATTTGAACAGCAGCATTTTTACACACAAGTATACATTTTGATGTCTGAAAAACCTACTACAGTGTACATTCTGTCAACACATTTCTTGGGTTTAAAATGTCTAAAACTATTGAATATAATAAGGTCCGTAGATAAAACTATAAGAGTTTGTTCGACTCTCAAGCTGATTCCTAGATTTGCATAAAATGGGACACTTGGCATAATTTTTTTAGTACTGACGGGATTACCCTGGTGAAAACGGTACGTATGGTCACCCTAGTCATAAGACTCTCTTTTGGTGTATGCATATTATCACGGTTCTTTAACATTCAGAGGCTGTGTTAAGAACCTACCTCCTTGTGAGATTTGAAGCTGGAGACTGGCACACTTATTGAGTTCTCTGTCAATGTAATAAAAGTCTCTCTCTACTGACCATGTCAGTGAAACAAAAGAGACTCTCTACTGACCATGTGAGTGTAACAATAGAGTCTTTCTACTGACCATGTCAGTGTAACAATAGTCTCTCTCTACTGACCATGTAGTGTAATGAAAGTCTCTCTACTGACCATGTCAGTGTAACAAAAGAGACTCTCTACTGACCGTGTCAGTGTAACAATAGAGTCTCTCTACTGACCATGTCAGTGTAACAAAAGAGGCTCTCTTCTGACATGTTAGTGTAACAAAAGAGTCTCTCTACTGACCATGTCAGTGTAACAAAAGAGGCTCTCTTCTGACATGTTAGTGTAACAAAAGTCTCTCTCTACTGACCATGTCAATGTAACAAAAGAGACTCTCTACTGACCATGTCAGTGTAACAAAAGAGGCTCTCTACTGACCGTGTCAGTGTAACAATAGAGTCTCTCTACTGACCATGTCAGTGTAACAAAAGAGACTCTCTACTGACCGTGTCAGTGTAACAATAGAGTCTCTCTACTGACCATGTCAGTGTAACAAAAGAGGCTCTCTTCTGACATGTTAGTGTAACAAAAGAGTCTCTCTACTGACCATGTCAGTGTAACAAAAGAGGCTCTCTTCTGACATGTTAGTGTAACAAAAGTCTCTCTCTACTGACCATGTCAATGTAACAATAGAGTCTCTCTACTGACCATGTCAGTGTATCAAAAGAGGCTCTCTACTGACCATGTCAATGTAACAAAAGAGGCTCTCTACTGACCATGTCAGTGTATAAAAGAGTCTCTCTACTGACCATGTCAGTTTATCGAAAGAGTCTCTCTACTGACCATGTCAGTGTATAAAAGAGTCTCTCTACTGACCATGTCAGTGTATAAAAGAGTCTCTCTACTGACCATGTCAGTTTATCGAAAGAGACTCTTTACTGACCAAAGTACCAATTTATTCTAACTCAATTTTAATGTGCTGTTATGTTGTAGGTTTTGGTACTGGTACCAGCAGCCTGAGAACCTTCCACAGCGACACAGGCAGGTCAACTTTGGGGTATGTTTTTCATTGTATTACATATTTGACTAGACTAGATAAAGTTTTTAATGCACTATCATTCATGTTTGTATTGGTGTTACCTTTTCTTTTGGAGTAAACAAGACAGGCAGACAGAGAGAGAGAGAGATGCTGATGCATGGGCAATACATGGTCTCTGCAATACTGCCCAAGCTTTGTGCTGTGGAGAGGAGGAACTTCACATTCACCATCCCCATAGACAGTGATTTCCATGCCATCCACAGTATAACACTGTCATCTTAGAAGACGGAAATGTGCTGACAGCAACATCAATAGTTCATGTTCAGCTGTAAATGTCAAAGTATATGTAGTGCATAACTCACTGTAGTAAATGTTCAACTGTAAATTCCAGACTAGATGTAGCTTATAGTTCACTGTAATACATTTTCAGCTCAAAATTCCAGACTCAGTATAGCTCACAGTTCACTGTTATACATTTTCAACTGTAAATGCTAGGATCATCATCATGTAGCTGGTCCTTAGCAGAATGTCGCTCTCATCGCGGTCTGCCTGAAAGAAACTCGGTCTCTCGCCAGTTCTCCCACCTCATGTACTTTCATACTCAAGGAGTCACTTATATCCTGTGCCCATCTTCATGTTGATCGGCCCCTGCCCCTCCTTGGTACCATGCCTTCTGTTATTATGCCAGGATAGATTTAGTTTATAAGATAGGAAACGTAAAGGAGCCTGGGGCAGGTAGTGCTAATTCTGTGTAATATTTATAGACCAACCAGCACTTGATGGTTGATGGGGTTAGCATCACCCCAGCCATCTTTTTTCCCCAGTAGATTACCTGGTAGCCGTATCAACTATAAATGCTAGAATAATTGCAGTTATAATTTACAGTAATATTTAGTTGTAAATGCCAGAATAGTTGTAGTTTATAGTTCACTGTAGTACATGCTCACCTACAAATGCCAGAAAAGTTTGTATTTCCATCTATGTTCATCTATAAATGTCCGACTCAGTGTATTTTGTAGTTTACTGTAATACAAATTCAACTAATGACATAGCAGTTTGTTTAATTTCTGACATTCCAGCATTAACTCACTGTTTCCCATCACTCCCCCCTTACATACACACGCTCTCTCTATCTCACACATACAAGCATGCGCACACACACTCTCTCTCTCACTCACTCACTCTCTCTCTCTCTCACTGTCTCTCACTCACTCTCTCTCACTCACTCACTCACCCACTCACTCACTCACTCACTCACTCACTCACTCACTCACTCACTCACTCACTCACTCACTCACTCACTCACTCACTCACTCACTCACTCTCTCACTCACTCACTCACTCTCTCTCCCCCTATATCTCTCTCTTACTCACTCTCTTACTCACTGCCTCACTCACTCACTCTCTATCTCTCTCTCTCGTTCTCTCTCACTCACTGCCTCACTCACTCACTCTCTCTCGCTCTCTCTGTCTTTATCTCTTTGATTTCTAGATTTTATGTAAGCAAGTCACTGTTGTAAATTGCACCTGCTAGGATGAATCAGTTGTCCTCAATGAACTAGTGATTATGTCTTTTAATGTTGAAGTCTTTTGTCAAAATTATTGGGTTTATTTTCAGCCAAACTGGCACCCAGTCACTTCATACAATGCAGTTTTTGGAGGAACTGCGAAAAAATCCAACATTGGCAGTGATGAGAGAGCAGCTGGCGGAAATGTTGCAGGAACAAGTGGAGAAGAAAGGAATACCACCTGTAGGTTTTTCTTCTTTTTCATTTGTATGGTACTACTTGTCTACATCCATATGTAAATTATCAGTGTGTATACTTTTCAACTCATTGAGTCCCAGGAGGTTTACCCTCAGAGGCCGAACAGGTAGTTAAGAGAGATGTAAAATCAGCGCATTTTGCGTATTTGGGCCTCTACGTAAGAACGTATGAACATATAATGTGTTTCTTGGGTCTCAAAGATTAAAAAAAAAAATTTCTTCTCTAGTTGTTTCAATATATTTATGTCCTGTGATGTATGCAAAATTATGCTGTTTGCATCCCATGATTTCTCCCATATAATGTGATACTTGGGATGAAGAGATGTTGAACCACGCTTGCTAGGGCACTAGGACCGGGGCTCGTACTGTTTATCTTAGAAACGAATTCCCACTCAGGATCCTGGCCAACAGGGATAGGATCTGTGGACATTTCTTTAGGACATGTGGACCGAAGTCTATGGTTTTTCTTTCTTCATACGGAATACCTTTCATTTGTGCAGCGGTTGTAACGTCCCATTCAGTATGGCGGGTAGCCGGTTTGCGTGTGGGCTGTCATAATTTTACATGTGTATGGCCAGCTTATCGTGACTGGCTACTTCCATCAGTGAAACTGCATTTCTTGTGGCGACTGTTGGCTTGACACCTCTAGCAACTGTCTTGTGCTTTTACTGCGTGCGCATATTTCTGGATAATGCCAGGACTATTTGTTTACCAGTTTTTCAAATGGAGCAGTGAGGGATTTCGTTGGATTTTTCACTGGCACAGAGCAATTAATGGATGACCCGATTTCAGTGAAGTTGAAACTTCTACTTCGACTACAACAAAGATAGAATCAACTTTACCGTCAAAGTTGGAGTGCACCTGTCAAGAGACAATGAACCAGCAGTCTGCTCACAGATAGTCAGATCTGTAAAGTGGATGTGTACGCAACAGTTAGTCACTGTATCAAGCTGCAACAAGACCAGAGTTGAGAAATGTATGTACAACCAGGACTTTCTGCCAGAGTTTACTGCTGATGAACGTGAAGTAGAAGAAGAAGAAGAATATGAATTATTAAACAATACTATCTATATCCCTGATTTCTTCCATAACACTGGAATACTTTAAATTATGCTTGTTTATTCTCTAATTTCTCCAATATTGTAGCAGACTTTGAATCATGCTGTCTCCGCCCTATGAATTCTTTTACACGAAATTTGGTACATAATTCTTTTACACCTGGCAATGTATTTAATTTTAGCTAATGTTGATTGTATCCTTCTCCAAACTTTCTTTGATTAAAATAAAATAAACACTTGTCAAATTGGTTACAACAGCTATAATTTTCCATCATCATCATCATCAAGTGCTTTGTTCACTGACATAGGCAATCATGTGAATCCACAGCCTCCATGTACAGTATTTCATCTCACAATGTTTTTCTGTGCTGTAATATGTTTCTGTAAATAATCTTCTCTCATTTGCTTTTCTCTGTAACTTTTTTTTTTTTTTAATTTTACTAGTAGCAGTAGTTACAAATTGTTTGAGTTTTTCTCTTCGTGATTTGTCAAAATATTTTATTGTGTTTTTGACAAATGTTGTTTATATCCTGTCATCCTTCAAACAGGTAAATAATGTCAGAATGTGTTAATATATTCAGTTACATGAAGTTATGTATGTAGCAGGAATTTGAACGGAAGCAGAGAGTATTGTCCCCTTGTTACGAATTGTTCCAGTTTTTCTCTTCCTGATTTGTCAGAATATTTCATTAAGTCATTCTGGTGTTTGTGACTAGTTTGGTTTAAATCATGTCATCCTTCAAACAGGTAAATAATGTTAGGATGTGATAATTTATTCAGTTACACAAAGTTATAGATGTAGCAGGAATTTGAAGGGAAGCAGAAGGCTATGTCCCCTTGCTTTTAAAATATCTACTCATGCCTGTCCTCTTTATTTGACTGACCGTGCAGCAAAACGCAGATAACCAATACAAAAACCACATACATCGCTGCTGTTGCTGCTGCTGTAAGAAACGGGGATACATTGCCAGATGCAAAATGCATAGGGTAACAGTTTCTCTGTTGCTGTTTGGTTTTTACTGGAGTTTTATTTGGAGTTTATTGAGGTTGAAGTGTTGATGTTTCTTATTGACCAGTCTTACTTATCATTAGATATTAACTGTATGAAAGCTAATTACTATCTGCACTGCTGATTCTGTTGCCACCCGTATACCAGATTACTGCTGCTGCCACTGGCATCAGTACATCACTACTCCAACTTCTAAGTTTAGGAAACATGGGGTATAGTCACTCAGCTTAGGAAACATGGGGTATAGTCATTCAGTTTAGGAAACATGGGGTATAGTCACTCAGTTTAGGAAACATGGGGTATAGTCACTCAGTTTAGGAAATATGGGGTATAGTCACTCAGTTTAGGAAATATGGGGTATAGTCACTCAGATTAGGAAACATGGGGTATAGTCACTCAGCTTAGGAAACATGGGGTATAGTCACTCAGCTTAGGAAACATGGGGTATAGTAACTCAGTTTAGGAAATATGGGGTATAGTCACTCAGTTTAGGAAACGTGGGGTATAGTCACTCAGCTTAGGAAACGTGGGGTATAGTAACTCAGCTTAGGAAACATGGGGTATAGTCACTCAGTTTAGGAAACATGAGGTATAGTCACTCAGTTTAGGAAATATGGGGTATAGTCACTCAGTTTAGGAAACATGGGGTATAGTCACTCAGCTTAGGAAACATGGGGTATAGTCACTCAGCTTAGGAAACATGGGGTATAGCCACTCAGCTTAGGAAACATGGGGTATAGTAACTCAGTTTAGGAAATATGGGATATAGTCACTCAGTTTAGAAAATATGGGGTATAGTCAGTAGGCAAGGGTATAATTTCTAAGATGTAAATGAAGGAAGCTACTATTATTGCTTACTTGACACCCCATAAGTGCAAGCCAGTGTTGGCACCAGGTCAGTCATGTTCTGCCTCCACAATAAAGGTTGGGTGCGGAGCATCTTAAGTGCGCTGCTTTTCTCCCTGCAAATACACTCTCAGGCTGATATTTTCCTCCCATTTGCATCATTGTCTACCTTTTGCTTTATTGTCAGTAACTTTTCCCTCTAAATTGGTTTTTACAACTAGTCATGTCTTTTAATTCTTTGAGACCCAAGGAGTAATCAAGAGAGAAGTAAAGTCGGCGCATCTTGCGTTCAGTGGGCTTCTAGGTAGGAATCTATGAACGTATAATGCGTTCATTGGGACTCAAAGAGTTTATGTGGCTGAAATTTGTCAGTTTTCTCCTTTTTATTTCTTTCAGCAACTCTCTTTTCACTCCTAGTCTCTTTATAACCTCTGTATGTGATTGTTTTACTTCCATGACATATGGTTTTCACCGCTTAGACAAGAGAGGCAATTTACTTTCTGTCTGTGGGTTCACAAATTTGCTCATTGTTGCTTCAGTGGGTCAGTAGATATGTCATAGCTTGTCTTGCAAAACGGGTCCACTAGTTTGTTTTCTCATTAAATAACTTTTTTTCCCCCTTCTTTTTCTGTTCACTTGAAATAGATTATCTGTATCTGCAATGTTGCCTCTTTTATGAACTTCACTGGGTTTTTTTTTTTAAAGTTCACTCAGCGACGCATACATTTTGGCTTCCACTGTATTTCTCCAGGCCAGTTTTGCCTTGATATGTTGTATTTGGGACAGTCTTAAGTAAATATATTCTTCTTCTTCTTGTTCGTCTTTTATCCTAGTGATGTAAATGTGTTGTGTCTATTTACAGCACAGCTGTGATTTTTGCTTTTGGTCCACACATCCAACCTTCTTTGGGCATTTGTTAAACAGATTAACCTTTCCAGAAATAAATATATAATGAAGCAGGTTGATGAAACCTTTCCAGATGTTTAATCACTCTCATCTCCTGTCCTGAGCTGGAGAATAATGGTATGGCCATGATAGCTGAGAGTGATTGTCCATTTTGGGTTGAATCTGTGCTTGTCTGGTAGTCTGAATAGCGATCTGTTTCTCAAAGTATTAGCAATTCAATTAGTTTGGATTGAGTCTGCACTAGGCTGGGGGAAAGGGGGGGGGGGGGGGGGGGGGAATAATAACATTGGCTTCTAAGTCGAACCAGCCTAAAATGGATACAAGGAAATGTTCAGGAGAGTAAAGGAGGCTAACATGATGTCCACCACATCACCCATTAAATGTCAGTGTGAAATAAAATTTTCCCCGTGTGGGTTCTGGGGCCCTATTATAGGCAGAACAAGAATAGACCCACTGCCTACCCAAAAGCATGTCATAAGAGTCGACTAATTGGAAGCTTCCTTTGAAGTCAGAGTGCATCTGCCTGAGAGGCAAGAAACCAACAGTCTGTACACAAATGTGTCAGATCTCTCAAACAGATGCACATGCAACACTCAGGTTCTGGAACAGGACTGCAGTCCAGAAGTGGATGAACAACCAGAACTTTCCACCAGAGTTTACAGCTGGTGAACGCAAAGAAGAAGAAGAAATTGAATTTTTGTGCCACCTCCACAATTAGGTTTATGTATTCTGTGGTGTTTATATTATTTTATTGACAATTTTGTCTAAATGTTTTTTTTTTAATTGTTGTTTTTTTCCCTTATGAATTTGTTTTGGTTTGTTTCTTCCTTTTACTATACAATTACATGCTGTATGCTTTACTGCACGCTACACTTGACTGTTTCAAACACACAATTATTGTAAATGTACACCATTTTTGCATGCACACACAACTGTTAACACATAATTATTGCACACATACACATACAATTATTGCAAACACACACATGCATATACACGCCTGCACACATAATTTCGTACATGATCATGCATACTCATACACACACATCTACCAACACTCACCACACATACACACACACAGGGGCAAACAGGAATCACAGATGAAGTCCTCAAGAGCAAGCTCGCTATTCTGTCAACGCAGAGACAGATGCATGTTCAGGTTTGGAAACTTATTTTGTCCTCTTGTCTAGTCTACGTAGGGAACTACGTTGATTCACTATCTAGATAAGTGGTTTTCAACCCTTTTTGAAGGTGGAGACCTTCTTGAACATATGGCAAGACCCCCATGCTCCCACCTGCTTAGTGTGTAAATCAAAAAAATATAAAAAATAAACAATTGGAGGACAAAATCTCTTCCCGTATGGGTTCCGGGCTTCTGTTATAGGGAAAACAAGAATAGACCTACCCAAAAGCATGTCGTAAGAGTCGACTTATTGGGAGCTTCCTTCAAAGTAAGAGTGCATCTACCTGAGAGGCAAGGAACCAGCAGTCTGCACACAAATAAGTCAGATCTGTAAAATGGATGCACACACAACACTCAGGTTCTAAAACAGGACTGCAGTCCAGAGGTGGATGAACAACCAGAACTTTCCGCCAGAGTTTGCAGCTGGTGAACGCAAAGAAGGAGAAGGACAGAAAAAAAAATCCATAGCATTATTAACAAGAACTTGGAGAAAAATATCCACATAAATCAAAGTTTTAAATAACATAATAGAAACAGTCACTGACAACTGGTAGTTTAGTGTCCAGATATCAGTGTGATGGTTGACACTGTTTTGTCTTGATATCATCTGTTTTTAATCTGATGTTGAACAATACACTTCAGAGATTACTCTCTGTGTCAAGCTGTCAGCTTTGTTTTGTTTTTAATGACAATTAAATTTAAATTGATAATGAAAATGGAATTTTTATTTGTTTTTGTGGAATAACAGATTCTTACATAAAAAAGTGCACCCAGTTACAAAATCGCTCATTTGTCTCACATCTGCATCAAGGCAGATTTTAAAAAAAATTTCCTTGGCTCCCTGGTCACCTGGCTAAATGGATGCCAGGAAGTGTCATGGAAGGTAAAAGTGACTGGTGTGATGTTGACCATACTACCCATTGAGTACTCTTCTTCTTCTTCTTCGCGGTCACCAGCTGTAAACTCTGGCGGAAAGTTCTGGTTATTCATCCACTTCTGGACTGCAGTCCTGTTCCAGAACCAGAGTGTTGCGTGTGCATCCGTTTTACAGATCTGACTCATTTGTGTGCAGACTGCTGGTACCTTGCCTCTCAGGCAGATGTACTCCGACTTCGAAGCTCCCAATTAGTGGACATGCTTTTGGGTAGGCAGTGGGTCTATTCTTGTTTTCCCTATAATAGGGCCCCGGAACCCACACGGGGACATTGAGTACTGACTGGTCAGTGCCACAGTATGGGTCTAGCACTATGTGCTCCATAATCTGAATGGAGCCTGACTTTTTTTCTATTTCAGAAATGACCTTGGATCCCAGGTCGACCCAGTCTCAAAATGGAAACCAGTAAAGTCCTGAGAGGTAAAGGCAGCCGGCAGAATGTTGACCACATTACCCCCCTGTGTGCCAAAGGGTCCATCAAATATAGGTTTAGCACTATATGCACAGTATACCTGAAGGCAAGAACAGGTGTCTTTACTATGTACAGGTGTCTTTACTATGCACAGGTGTCTTTACTATGTACAGGTGTCTTTACTATGTACAGGTGTCTTTACTATGTACCTGATGCATAGCTGGTGTGAACGAGGAATCCTGTATTTTCACTGACTGTTGGATTAATGATTGTTGATTTAGTGTAGCCATCTGTGTGCCACACTGCATCCCAACTTTGAGCTTTGGATCAACATCATGGGTAGTAACCATAAGTACTCCTTTCTTCTTCTAACTCAAGTCTGAGTCCGAAGAAGCTCAGCACAGTGCACAGGCTCTGTAGCACCGGTGAGGAACCTAAAATACTTTTTTGGGTAGATTTTTAACTCCAGATTTTGCCCAGGCAGTGCCGTTAGCCTACTCTTTTCGATTTCCAACTGCCAAGGGATTTTTTACGTGCGCAACAACGCACACAGGGTCCGATCTCACTACCCAGAGTCCAGGGAGAATTACTAGAAGTCCAAGTCCACGTGAAAAAATCCCAGCCCTTACCGGGGGTTGAACCCGGAACCACTAGCACTCGAGGTGGACACCATGCCTCGAGACCACTGTATCTAAGGAACTTGAAGAGTGAAAACCAGCACTATCTGCCCAATTCACCTGAAGGCGTTTAAAAAGAGTCCTTTACTTTGCTATATAAAGGTCTGTAAAACAGTTGTGCACGCAAAAGTCAAGTTCTGGAACAAGATCAAAGTCCAGAAGTGGACGAACAACCAGAACTTTCCACCAGAGTTTACAGATGGTGAATGATCAGAAGAAAAAGAAGAATATCCTCAGTAATGTTAGCTGCCCAGTAGGTTTTGCAAATTTGCTTGCCTCAGTTAATAAAAAGTATAATCTGAAACAGAAATATCCAGACTTCAACGAGAGGAGAGAGCATTTTAACAAGACATCAACAGAAGAAGCAAGGAAACAGCTGAAAGTACAGAGCACCTCAACACTTAGTCAACCACCCCATGGTGAGTTATGTCAGTGCCTGAAAAATAGAGGACCTGATGTTTATTAGATGTTTTAATATTTAAATTTTCTTGTTGTTAAATCAAAGTAGAAGCTAGAAGTAGCTCTCTCAGCCCCCTCACTTCTTCTCATTTACATGAGTAGTTCAGTTCTTTTAGACTTACTGTCATTTTTAATGTAACTGGTTTTTTTTTTACATTAAAATATGTATTTGGTTTCTTTCCTAGTAGCTGTTTTGTTTGTATTTTCCTGTATACATCCCAGCTACAGTTTGCGTTGTCTTTTTCTTGATTGTGAAACTGTTGTCATAAATGAGGTCGTAAGTCCCAGCATCAGTGTAGCACATACCAAGGCTTGCACCCAGTACCTCTTCACAACCTGTCGCTCAAAGGCAGAACAGGGCTAGAGAAGCAGAAGAAGCAAATGGTTCGGTTGTATGTGTGCTTGCGTTTTTTTGTGTGGGTACGTATTGGTGCAAGCATTAATGGCTGATGGTGAGAGAGAAAAACATCTGGCCTATACAGACATTGTGTAAGAAATAAAATAAATGTATCCGGGAAGGCTAACTTGGACAACAAAGGCCTGAAGAGTTCGGCAGAAGGGTGCAAATAACGCAACCATGCTGTAAACAGGCACAACTAAATTATGGCCTCGGATGAACGGAGTAGCATTAAATTTATACATTTAGTGGGAGCCGGGTAATTTAGTGGCTGGGCTGGTGTGTTGGGAAATGAGCAGGCAGATAGACTAGCCGGTTCTGCACCACTTGGTGGTGAACTGATGTATGGTTAGGTTAGTTGCTTATCCTTTACAGGATGTTGCAGAACCAACCCCAACAGCCCCTGGCTGTTGTGTGGTTTTTCTAGGCAAATTTTCGTCCAGTAGTTTGCTATTGCTTTCTGGACGGTCGGCTTTCTTGATACCACTGTCAAAACCAACACAAGGCGCATGGCCTGCAGCTGGGATCGAACCCGGCATCCCGGCATTACGATGCGTTCACATCGACTTAGCCTCAAAGCCGACACTGACGTATGACAAGCTGGATATTGTAAGGGTCCTTTAGGAGCGAATGAACAGTGCCGAGGAACAGATAGATCATTACAGTCTGAGGAGAATGGCACTACGAGAAGCTACAAGGTGATCTGGCCAACACTTGACACTCAGGGGAAAGGCGATACGGATATACAATCAGTTACTGGTACCATCGGAATTTTAACTCTTTGCTTGCTGCTGAAGATGGGGACAGAGCGCTTATGGGGGTGTGATGTCGATTCTTAATTCAACATTCAACAACATTGTAGTGACTGGATGCTTGCCTGTCAGCTTCAAGTAGAGAAATTTATTTCAAATTCAGTTTATGTGGTTTAGGCAGTTGCTCAGCAGTTGATATTTCTTTACATTTGGTTTCAATCATTAGTGAAAGTATTTATATTTTTGTGTTCTTTTCAGTCTGTTTTTTATGGTATTTCAGTGACCTCTAGAGTTGGCCAGCTATTAATATTTTCTTAAGTTATGTCTTACTGTTTTTGAGTTTTTCCCCCTCAGTATGTGAATAATTAATGTTTATTTTCATTTTTTATTTCCAGCAAGAGCTCGTCGAAGACTAGGTATAGATTGAAACATTTTCCCTTCTGATTCTTTGATTAATATTTCACTCATTTAACAAATTTAACTGTGGCTTCATGAAAATGGCTTTTCACTTTAAATGATGCTTGCTGTTCATAAACCTGGTGTTGAATTAGGAAGAATGAAATCGGACTATTGAAAAGCTAACTAATTTTCTTGCCATTTTAGTGTCTAAATTTGTTATTCTTATGTTTGTTTGAAATAAGGTGTGTGACAAGTTTATGATGATACTAAAATGTATTTCAGCCATGTTGTAATATCACCTTATGGAAGACTAGCTCGGGCAACAAATACCCGCAGACGTTGGATGTGTCGGCCGAAAGGGGCAAATATCGCAGCCGTGCTGAAAATAGACACAGTGCATTTACTTGAACACAGAATAGAAGAAGAAGAAAATATCATCTTTAACTATTTACACAGATTTTATTTGCTATTAAAATGATAGAATTATTTACAGTATACTAGAAAATGGGCAAAGGTAACCCCATAGCTGTGTTAGGCCATCACATATTCTAAGCATGAAATGATGTGATGGGATGGCCAATCCTTTTCCATGTATTCCCTGAAAATTCTGTAAATTGTGTGACACCACCCCAGGGCCTGCTTCATTTTGGGGGACACACAATTGACCCCCCCCCCCCTCCCCAAACCAGCAAGTCGTAAAAGTCAACTAAATACGGACAACAAGTGCATCTGCCTATATATATTTGCATACATATAAATCAAATCTGTAAAATGTGTGTGCACGCAAAAGACAAGTTCTAGAAAAAACTCGAAAAAGTCTGAAATTGGATGAACAACAAGAACTTTCCACTGGAGGAGTGTACAGCCAGCGAGCATGAAGTAGCAGAAATCTGACACCAGTTTTATAAAGTTGGGCAAATCCCGTAATTGGACAGCTGTTCAGAAAAAAAGAATCTTGCCTGTGGTGAGAATTGAACCCAGTCTTAGCAGACAAGGGTTCCACCTCCATGCCACCCACACCTACTGTGTACTTTGTGGGAAATTTAAATTAAAACCTCAAATGTTAAACCAGATTGTAAAAACCAATCCACTGTCTTGTAACCTGTCAATGTTGTTAAGGATGTCAAGAGTGTCAAAAACATGACCTCATGGTGCAGTTGAACACAGTGGTGTCATAAAACCATTGTGTATGAAACTATCAGCAAGTGACATCTTCATAGGATTATTTCTAAAATAATTTAAAAGATGTTTCTGGATAACATTTTAGTGCCTTCTGTTTCCTTTGCATTTGCGAGTGTTTAATACTAGCATGTTTGTCTCACACTTCTCATCAACATTTTACTTGCAGGAAATGTTAAAACTTTATACTTTATAAATGTTGTACCCTTCAAACTAACTATTTCATTATAAGCATTATTGTTGAAGTCTGAACAAAGAAAAAAGGAGAGAAGAAAGAGGTAAAAAGAGGGGAAGAAGAAGATTTAAGATATGTTGGGTTTGAATAGAGTTGTACAAAATAAGAAACATGAAGATGTTGAAAACCCCCAATCTCATGAGATTTCTTAGATTGGTGACTAACACTAACACTGTAACTCACCATGCATGTTATATGAGTCAGCTAAGGAGGGTTGGCGTTAGACTGGCCACCTCAACTGGTTTATGGGGGGGGGGGGGATGATAGCATCCTATGCTTCATGCACCTCTGGTGTATAATGGTCCTTTATTATTATTTTACTTTTATGACAAAGACTTTGCTGTTGGTTGGTTGACTGGCTGTTCTGCTGAAGAAGACAAATGTTAAGTGTTTTGCTGGTCTGTCCTATTTGTGAAGAGAAATCCCTGTATGTATTTAGGTGGGAAGGGGGGGGGGGGCAGATCCTGAAAATGTATAGGCTTAGAATATCATTGGGAGCCGTCATGGTGTAGCAGCTAGACACATGCCTCATGATCTGAAGGTTGTGGGTTCAGATACTGATGGACCCTTGACTTTTTTTAAAAATTTTAAATGACCTTGATTCCCAGGGTGACCCAGCCTCAAATGGGTACCAGGTAAAATCCTGGGAAGTAAAGACGGCCAGCATGATGTTGACCACATCACCCACCAGGTGCTGAATGGTCTTTAAAGATTGGTCTTCAAAATACAGGTCTGGCCTTATATACCCAGTGTGCTTGAAGGCGTAGGAAAGAGTCCTTTATTTTTGTTTTAGAACATCATTGACTAAACATAAGAATGTAAATGGGGAGGCTGCAGTCAAGCAGATGGTACTTCCAAACAAAAGAACACCCTTCCCTTGATAATTTGCTGTTCTCATTTTTGCCTTGCACGTTGCTGGTAGGGAAAATAATTGTCATCACCAAAACCAGCTTCGATTGTGACTTCATGTAATAGATGTTTGCACGTGAGAGTCACCAGTGAGAACCACACAGGCTAACACATACTGATTTGCACATCTCTATAAAGTAACTTTAATAATGCATGCGTACGGTGAACAAATTTAACTAAAATATGTTTTAGTTGAAACAGATTCCTGTGTGGGTTCCGGTGCCCCATGGTGGGGAAAATGCCACTGCCTCCATGTCTGAATTTCTGTATTGCAGTTCCTCATTTATAATGTAGTCATCTCTTCCTTGATACTTCTTTCTTCCTGTGTCTGAATTTCTGTATTGCAGTTCCTCATTTATAATGTAGTCATCTCTTCCTTGTTACTTCTTTCTTCCTGTGTCTGAATTTCTGTTTTCCTCATTTATAGTGTAGTCATCTCTTCCTTGTAACTTCTTTCTTCCTGTGTCTGAATTTCTGTATTGTATTCCTCATTTATAATGTAGTCATCTCTTCCTTGTAACTTCTTTCTTCCTGTGTCTGAATTTCTGTATTGTTTTTCCTCATTTATAAGGTAGCCATCTCTTCCTTGTAACTTCTTTCTTCCTGTGTCTGAATTTCTGTATTGTTTTTCCTCATTTATAATGTAGCCATCTCTTCCTTGATAATTCTTTCTTCCTGTGTCTGAATTTCTGTACCATTATTCCTAGGTTATAATATAGATCTCTTCTTTGTTGAATTCTCCCTGCATTTGTGTTTTCCAGTGAGAGCTTTCTGAAAAAGTGAATTAGATTAAATTGAAACTTAACGAATTAGTTCTTTATGATAAATACATAATGTAAATACTGGAAACATTAAATCTAGATAAGGAAATCCTAAATGAATTTAGAATGTGAGGCAGAAATTACACCTAGATCAGAATAACACGTGAAGATGATGGACACTTATTTATTTATTATTCTGTGTCTGTTAATAGTTTTTAACAGTAATTGTTTAAGAACCCTATTTATCTATGTTATGAATAAATTATTGTATTATTTATTATGCTTGTATTTATTTAATAATTATATTTATTTTATGATTTTTATGCGATTTAATTTAAATTAACTTGTGAGATTCATTCAACGTACCATTTTAAATCTAGTCTTATTGAATAGATAATAGTTTAAGACAAAAATGTTATTATGCTTAAACACAAAAGAATCCTTATGAGGGTTCCTGGGTTCCAATCTGCCTCATAACTAGCATATTCTGGGTACCAATCTGCCTCTTAACTAGCATATTCTGGGTTCCAATCTGCCTCATAACTAGCATATTCTGGGTTCCAATCTGCCTCATAACTAGCATATTCTGGGTTCCAATCTGCCTCATAACTAGCATATTCTGGGTTCCAATCTGCCTCATAACTAGCATATTCTGGGTTCCAATCTGCCTCATAACTAGCATATTCTGGGTTCCAATCTGCCTCATAACTAGCATATTCTGGGTTCCAATCTGCCTCATAACTAGCATATTCTAAAAAGTAACCATCAAAATTGTTTGGCTGAGAGTGCAGATATTGCAGACTGGCTGTAAATTAAAACATGCCAACTGTCCTTTTTTAAAGGTGAGCACAGAAGAAGTGGCTCGTAATACACATACAGCTAAACATAAGGTTACACAACTAGCAGTGTGTGCATGCAGACAAACGGCTCATATTAAGATACATTAGACACATTTGTACCTTATTAGTTAGTTAGTTGGGGTTATCATCATTGCACTCCGGAAATATCCATAGGTGCTCAGATCCTCCCCTCAGTATAAACCCGAACATCCTGTGGCTAATAGTACTAGTTCTATGTGGATTAACAAGTCCTCTGATGTGCCTGGTGTGCGTCTCGTTTTTGTTATGCCAATATTAACTCCCAAGTCTATCATTCTGGCGAGTGATGTAGATTCACTTTCCCCAAAGACCTTCGCCCTTTCCATTTCTCAAGGGCATTAATAATATCAGCTGTTGTATCATATGTAGTTTTACAAGGTCTCTTCTTGGGTTGGATAAAAACAGCTACTAGATTTTAAACATCAGGTAAGCCTCAGGATGTGCAGAATAGGGCTTTATTTATGCGGGAAACAAAATTGCATATAAAAGCCAATTTCCAACTGAAAAAATCAAACAGTAAATGTTAATGTGTTCCAGAAAACAGTGTTTATAATTCCTGTGCATAGTCTGATTCCAAGGGAATAAAAAAGAAAAAAGGCAGAAGAATGCTTAAAATTCCTCGGACAGCCGAAATGAGTACTTAACATTTTTTGAAAAAGATGCAGAGAACATATCAGTAACACCAGAAAAAGGTGGTCCATCACTTTTGTGACTATATTATTACAAATAAAAACCAGATATTTTCTGACAGCTGGTAGGAGTTATGGAAAGAGAGACAGGGGAAGACAAGAGACAATTTTGTCACGGCATAGACTTTTGTCATGGTGTCAAAAAATATCAGTACATAAACTGATACGTACTGTTAGAGATTACAAACTCTGGTCTTTAATTGCAGTTGGCAAAGCACTTAATGATGACATTACAATCTGATGTACGGCTTACGGGAGTTATCTTTACATTTTTTAATGCAGAGTTATCACAGACTTTACGCCATGACCCGGGTCTGCCCACTGGGTTCAGAGCAGGCCCGCCTCACCCTCAGCAGCATTTGTCATCACAGAGAGCCACCCCTCAGAGCCCCGGCAGACATGGCATCAGTCCACACGCCAAACCACAGCCACAGCCTAGAACCCCACAGCATGCCAGACTGCACCAGTCCACAGGGTATGGTCTTTAACTGTTAAACATGAATAATTTAAAACCGCATGCTTGAATATACATTGTCCCTGTGCTAGTTCCGGGGCCCTGTTATAGGGAAAACAAGAATAGACCACAAGCCTACCCAAAAGCATGTCGTAAGAATCAACTAATTGGGACCTTCCTTCAAAGTTGAGGTACATGTGCCTGAGAGGCAAGGAACCAACAGTCTGCATACAAATAAGTCAGATCTGTCAAACAGATGCACACGCAACACTCAAGATCTGGAACAGGACTGCAGTCCAGAAGTGGACGATCAACCAGATCGCCAGAGTTTACAGCTGGTGAACGTGAAGAAGAAGGAGAAGAATATACATTTTCAGTGTTGCAGTTAGAATATAGTGTGTACTAGTTTTTTTGGTCATATCAAGCGCCACGACGGATTGGAAAAAAAATAATAGCAGAAGGCATGGTACCAGGAAGGAGGGACAGGTGCCCATCAACACAAAAATGGGCACAGGATATTAGTGACCACTTGAGTATGAAAATACATAAGGCCGGAGAGCTGGCGAGAGACAGAGTTTCTCTCAGGCATCCCGTTATGAGAGCGATGTTCTGCAAAGGACCTGCTATCTGATGATGATGATGATTTTTATTCTAATCTTCTCTTCCAGTTACAGGTGCGTAATGCAGTAAAATCTCGTTACCATGAACATGCTTAAGAAGAACATTCGGTTAACATAAACATAATTTTGATCTCAGCAAGGATATAATATTATCATCATCATCATCATCAGTCTCCAGTAAGCACACATTATTATCACACAGGCTCGATTTTGGGTTCCTTGGAATTCATGCTAATGGGTTTTTTCTTTGTATCTGTATTCATAGTAGACTGTCAGTATTTTTTTGGGAACAAGCAACGCAATCAGTAGAGAAACAAGATTATTATGGCCTGGAGAGAATGAGGCACCTGGTTGTAACCAGAGGGTCTGGCTGGCTCACTACACTCAGGGGGAAGGCAAGACGGACATATAACCAGATTGTGACCCGTACCATCAGTACTGGAACTCTGCGCTGGCTGCTAAAGATCAGGACGCAGCACGCATGGGAATGCCCCAATTCTTGACTCAGTTCAACTCAGTCTCCGTTCCTAGGCCAGTGAATATCAGATGAAATGTGCCCCCACAACTGCATTTATCAAACTGGTGAACAAACCAGAAGAAACCAGAAATATTTTATGCAGCAAATACATATAAAAATTTATGAAAGGGGAGCTTCTAACAGCAAGTAAGTCTTAATATTATTTTTCACCAGGTCCACACCTGAATGGGCTAGTTCAAAGTTTGATAGTGATGAAGACAGTTTGGAAGAAGAAGGCCATGATTTCGCTGCTGGTGGCAAAATATCTGGCCCTCCAGGAACCCGGCTAATTCAGTCAGGTCCAGCCAGAGGGCCCACACCGAGTCCGCGCTCACAGGGACCCAAGGCGAGACTGATTCAGTCCAAGCCGTTAAACACTAATACAAATAATGACATTGATAACCTCAATTTGGACAGGTTTGTTTACCAAGATTCGTGTGCTGTGTTTTTATCTTTCTGTCTTAACTGATTGAGTCTCCATGTGGGTTCTGGGGGTTCCATTGGGGGGGGGGGGGGAGATAAATGGACCCATTGCATCCCTAACAAGCATGTCACAAGTTCATTCATTAGGGGTGTTTCCTTCGAATTTGCAGTGCATTTGCCTGAGAGGCGAGGAGATATCAGTCTGCATACAAATAAGCCAGATCTGTAGTAAAAACAAATGGATACAGGAAACTCAAGTTTGGGAACAAGATCAAAGTCCAGAAGGGGACAAGCAACCAGAACTTTCAACAACAGTTTACAGCCGGTGGCTGCGAAAAAAAAAAAAAAAGAAGAGACTGATTCATTGTGTCATTATTTAACTCTTGTCAGGCCGGGTAGTTACAGGACTCTTTTCTTGCCCTTGGTGCAGCGGACATAGTAAGGATCCTTTTCCACACCTTTAGGTGTTTAGGGCATATAGGGCTAGACCTATATTTTTATAGACCATTCGGCACAAGATGTTTGATGTGGTCAGCATCACCCCGGCCACCTTTACTTTCCGGGACTGCACCCAGTACCCACTCAAGGCTTGGTCGACCTGGGAGTCAAGGTCATTTTTTTTAAAGAAATTCCGGCTCAGTGGAAATAGTGCTAGACCCATATTTTGCTATAGATCAGTCAGTGTCTCCACTGTTTATGCGGTCAACATAGCGCTGGTGCTCTTACTTCTCAGAAGGTGATGTGCACCTGGTGTCCATTTTAGACAACTTCAAGATCCCTCTAAAGGCAGCTAGGGTTGATACTGTTATCTTGGAGGTCACTGCACAAGATAATTTATCCGGGTACTTATCTCTTCCTCATCAAGTGGAGACGTGAGGTGACTATAAATAACTGCAGCTGCAGCCAGAAAAGACAGCGAACTGAAATTCCCTAACTAATGCAGTTCAGATTCCCTGCTCACACCGTCCAAGAGCATCCCATACTTTATTAGACAACTACATATCCCTAGTCTGATTTTGCCTCTAGTAGATACAAGAATCGGTCATCATGTGTGATGGATGAACAGCAGTACTTACACTTTAACCTGAATTAGTTGTCAAAACACAAGAAATAATTGTCTGCATAATTTGAATTTGTTTCAAAACTAAATTTTTACCTGTTTAAGATTTACAGCTCATACCTTATAACAGGCCTTATACACAATTATCCTTGAATGTTTTATGACAGACAAGTTGTGCTCATAACTCAAATCATATTTTGCTAGTAGGAATCTCTGATGAGTTGAAATGGTTTATTTTCAGAGATAACAGAAAACCTTTTTCCGCTTCCTTACCATCTGGAAAGACAGGATCATTTTCAGACAAAATAGACATGATAGAAAAGCAAATGGAGGTAAGTATAATCTATTTGTTCACTTTGGGCATCTAACTGAAGGTTTCCAGACTTCTGCGACTTCAAGAATTGCATCCTGTTACCCTGTTCCACCTACAAGGAATTTATAATGTTTTTCTGTCTCTGCCTTATGTTCTATGAAATTCTTTGCAAGCAGTCTATTTCTGTTTTATTTATACAAATTTCTGGTGACATTGCACCAGTTGTTGATGTTGAAACACCTTCAGTTGTGGTTAGTCTTCTTACATGAACATCCACATTGTCATGTAGCTGCAGTGTCTTTAACTAATTAATGTCCTTGTGACTTTATTGGCTCCCAGGTTGACCCAGCCTTGAGTGGGTACCGGGTACGGTCCTGGGAAGTAAAGACGGCCGGCACGATACTGACCACATCACCCATCTTGTGCCGTTGGTCTGTAAAATACAGGTCTAGCCCTATGTACCCAGTAAGCCTGAAAGGCGTGGAAAAGGGTCCTTCACTTTTACTTTACTTGTGACTTAATGCTAGAGGCTTCATATACACATATAACAGAGATTGAAACAGTCACTCTTGGTTGTAGTCAGCTGGTCTCTCTTCCTGGTGGGTTCTAGGGCTCTATGTTTGGGGGAAAGGGGGGGGGGGGGGGGGAACCCACTTCCCACTAACAAGCATGTCATATATGGTGACTAATTAGGAATGTGCTGAGATCGGATATGTTGAGCTGAAAGGCGCAGATATCACAGTCTAGCTGTAAACCAAAACACAACATACCAGTCCCCCTTTTCAAGGTTGATATCACAGGCTAGCTGTAAACCACAACACAACGTACCAGTCACCCTTTTTTAGGCTGATATCACAGCCTAGCTGTAAACCACAACACAACATACCAGTCACCCTTTTCGAGGTTGATATCACAGCCTAACTGTAAACCACAACACAAAATACCAGTCACCCATTTCAGGGTGAATGCAGAAGAAGAAGAAGAGATAATCAGCTGGGAAAGTAAGAGAGTTAGTGCTTTACTAACCATGTAACCATTTGTCATTGGTTAGCAGAAATATGGTTGGTCACCAGAATAGAGGGTTGATCACCAGAATATTGGGTTGATCACCAGAATAGTGGGTTGGTCACCAGGATAGGGGGTTAGTCACCAGAATAGTGGGTTGGTCACCAGAATAGTGGGTTGGTCACCAGAATAGTGGGTTGGTCACCAGAATAGTGGGTTGGTCAACAGAATAGGTGGTCAGAGTGAACAAGTTTTTAAAAACTCACAAATCGATGTTTTATAGTACATATCTGAGGAGGTTTGTTTACATTTTTTCTATGAAAATAACAAAACCACAAATTTTCCCCCACATACATTTCTTTTTGTAGAATCGCAATACAAAAGATAGACCATTTGGAGGAGTAAATGTGGGAGTTGTGACAGGTGCCATTAAACAGAAGGGAAAAGAGGTGAGTTAGAATTTCATATATATTCTGATTGTTCAGTTTCTGTATCTCCATGTGGATTCCTTGACCCCATTTGGGGGAGTGGGGGGAAGGAGGGGGGGGGGGGAGTGAAGAATAGAACCACTACCCCCTTCCACGCATGTCATAATCTTCTTCTCCTTCTTCTTTAGCATTCCGAGCCCTTGAGGTTCATTGCTGCAGATATCACCCGCCTCCATTCATCTCTCTGGTTGGCTTTCTCTTTCCAGTTGGTCACACCAAATGTTTGTAGGTCTGACTGGACATTTTCTCTCCATATTCTTCTTGGTCTGACTCGTGGTCTACCACCATTCATATCCCTTATGTATGCAGTTTTTCCTTCTCTGTGATCTGACAATCTTTCAATATGCCTCAACTACTTCAGTCTATTAGCTCTCATGATGCCAGTGATTTAAAGAGATTATGAATTTCATTATTGCTTCTCACTCTACATTCACCGCTGTTTGCATCTTTGATGGGTCCAAAGATTCGTCGTAAGACTCTGTTTTTGAAAAGCTGTAATAAGGCTTCATCTCTTTTAGTTGTGCTCATGTCATAATAGGTGACTAATTAGAGGTTGTGTGATGTGTTGGGCGGAACAGCGCATGTATCACAGCTTAGCCCCAACACTATGTGCCAACAGCGCATGTATCACAGCTTAGCCACAACACTATGTGCCAACAGCGCATGTATCACAGCTTAGCCACAACACTATGTGCCAACAGCGCATGTATCACAGCTTAGCCACAACACTATGTGCCAACAGCGCATGTATCACAGCTTAGCCCCAACACTATCTGTCAACAGCGCATGTATCACAGCTTAGCCCCAACACTATCTGTCAACAGCGCATGTATCACAGCTTAGCCCCAACACTATCTGTCAACAGCGCATGTATCACAGCTTAGCCCCAACACTATCTGTCAACAGCGCATGTATCACAGCTTAGCCCCAACACTATGTACCAACAGCGTATGTATCACAGCTTAGCCCCAACACTATGTGCCAACAGCGCATGTATCACAGCTTAGCCCCAACACTATGTGCCAACAGCGCATGTATCACAGCTTAGCCCCAACACTATGTGCCAACAGCGCATGTATCACAGCTTAGCCCCAACACTATGTGCCAACAGCGCATGTATCACAGCTTTGCCCCAACACTATGTACCAACAGCGTAAGTATCACAGCTTAGCCCCAACACTATGTGCCAACAGCGCATGTATCACAGCTTTGCCCCAACACTATGTGCCAACAGCGCATGTATCACAGCTTAGCCCCAACACTATGTGCCAACAGCGCATGTATCACAGCTTTGCCCCAACACTATGTGCCAACAGCGCATGTATCACAGCTTAGCCCCAACACTATGTGCCAACAGCGTATGTATCACAGCTTAGACACAACACTGTGTGCCAACAACGCATGTATCACAGCTTAGCCACAACACTATCTGTCAACAGCGCATGTATCACAGCTTAGCCCCAACACTATGTGCCAACAGCACATGTATCACAGCTTAGCCCCAACACTATGTACCAACAGCGTATGTATCACAGCTTTGCCCCAACACTATCTGTCAACAGCGCATGTATCACAGCTTAGCCCCAACACTATCTGTCAACAGCGCATGTATCACAGCTTAGCCCCAACACTATGTGCCAACAGCACATGTATCACAGCTTAGCCCCAACACTATGTGCCAACAGCGCATGTATCACAGCTTAGCCCCAACACTATGTGCCAACAGCGCATGTATCACAGCTTAGCCCCAACACTATGTGCCAACAGCGCATGTATCACAGCTTAGCCCCAACACTATGTGCCAACAGCGCATGTATCACAGCTTAGCCACAACACTATCTGTCAACAGCGCATGTATCACAGCTTAGCCCCAACACTATCTGTCAACAGCGCATGTATCACAGCTTAGCCCCAACACTATCTGTCAACAGCGCATGTATCACAGCTTAGCCCCAACACTATGTGCCAACAGCGCATGTATCACAGCTTAGCCACAACACTATGTGCCAACAGCGCATGTATCACAGCTTAGCCCCAACACTATGTACCAACAGCGTATGTATCACAGCTTAGCCCCAACACTATGTACCAACAGCGTATGTATCACAGCTTAGCCCCAACACTATGTACCAACAGCGCATGTATCACAGCTTAGACACAACACTGTGTGCCAACAGTGCATGTATCACAGCTTAGCCCCAACACTATGTACCAACAGCGCATGTATTACAGCTTAGCCCCAACACTATGTGCCAACAGCGTATGTATCACAGCTTAGCCCCAACACTATGTGCCAGCAGCGTATGTATCACAGCTTAGCCCCAACACTATGTGCCAACAGCGCATGTATCACAGCTTAGACACAACACTATGTACCAACAGCGTATGTATCACAGCTTAGACACAACACTATGTACCAACAGCGCATGTATCACAGCTTAGCCCCAACACTATGTACCAACAGCGCATGTATCACAGCTTAGCCCCAACACTATGTGCCAACAGCGCATGTATCACAGCTTAGCCCCAACACTATGTGCCAACAGCGCATGTATCACAGCTTAGCCACAACACTATGTGCCAACAGCGCATGTATCACAGCTTAGCCCCAACACTATGTGCCAACAGCGCATGTATCACAGCTTAGCCCCAACACTATGTGCCAACAGCGCATGTATCACAGCTTAGCCTCAACATTATCTGTCAACAGCGCATGTATCACAGCTTAGCCCCAACACTATGTACCAACAGCGTATGTATCACAGCTTAGCCCCAACACTATGTGCCAACTGCCTTTTAAGAGAAAACGCAGAATCCAATAATAAATTTCTATTTTTAAGAAATGTTATTTGCATAAATAATAATTTTACAGAAAAATTATGTTAGGGGTCTGTGTACAAAGATTGTATTTATTATAAAATAATTTTTTCGAAAATTCTTGGGTTAATGGCTTTTTTGTTTTGTGTGTGTTTTTGTTAACCTGAAGGCTTCCGGGGTTAAAAGATTAAGTTCCATGTATGTGAGACACTGTAATTTAAATAATGGAATATTACTTATGAAACAGATGATTGTCTTATGTCTGTATAATTTAAACGGCTATGTGTAACTTGTGAAATGTTTCCTAAAGCTGTGTCCCAATGTGTTGTTGCAGGGCAATTCTGATCTGGACAATGACTGGGATGATGTGACTGAATCAGATGAACCTGCACCAGCAGTGGCCAAGTAGAATTATTGTTTCTTGTTTTCATGCTCATTCTTTAGAGGAGAATTAAATGCAAATTATTGCTAGCAGTATAAAGACTAAAATATTTTATCTGTGTATTCTAGGCCGGGAGGGGGTTGGGGGGGGGGGGGGGTGTTGGTAGAGAGATAAGATTCGGGATAGTCTGAAATCATTGTAAAGAGATATTATAGCAAAAGTTGATTAAGTGTATAATGATACTCAGCATAATTCTAGCACAGATAGCTGCTGCATACTGACGGATTTATGATTTAATATGGAGTCAATCTGAGAACTTTCCTATTAGAGGAAACATTAAAATACCTTGCACCTGGGGGTAAACATTGAAAAACCAAAACCTTTAGAAGAAACATTGAAATACCTGAACATATAGAGGAAACATCAAAATGCTGTGGAGGAAGGAAACATACCTGAAACCTGTGGAGAAAACATTGAAATACCCAAAAAAAAAAAAAAACTGTGTAGGAAACATTGAAATATAAAAAAAAAAAAAACTGCGGAGGAAACATTGAAATACCACCAAAAAAGGCCTGTGGAGGAAACATTGAAATACCACCAAAAAAAGACCTGTGGAGGAAACATTGAAATACCACCAAAAAAGACCTGTGGAGGAAACATTGAAATACCACCAAAAAAGACCTGTGGAGGAAACATTGAAATATCAAAAAAAAAAAAAAAAAACTGTGGAGAAAATATTGGAATACAAAAAAGAAACCGCTGGAGGAAACATTGGAATACCACAAAAAAAAAAAAAAAAAACTGTGGAGAAAAGGGAATACTAACACAGAAGAAACCTGTCTAGGAAACATTTCAATACCCCAAAAAAAAAAAAAACACAACTAAAGAAAAAACATTGAAATACCCACACAAAAAAACCTGTGGAGGAAACATTGGAATACCATCACAGAAAAAAAACTGTGGAGGAAACATTGAAATACCAAAAAACCTGTGGAGGAAACATTACCAAAAAAAAAAACCTATGGAGGAAACATTGAAATGCCAACACAGAAAAAACCTGTGGAGGAAACATTGAAATACAACCAAAAAAAAAAACAATGTGGAGGAAAGGGAATACCAAAACAGAAGAAACCTGTCTAGGAAACATTTATATACCAAAAAAAAAAAAAAAAAAAAAAAAAAAAAAAAAAAAAAAAAAAAAAACAGCTGTAGAAGAAACATTGAAATACTAAGAAAAGAAACCTGTGGAGGAAACATTGAAATACCAAAAAACCTGTGGAGGAAACATTTAAATGCCAACACAGAAAGAACCTGTGGAGGAAACATTGAAATACCAAAAAACCTCTAGAGGAAACATTGGAATACCCACACACACACACACAAAACTGTAGAGGAAACGTTGGAATACCAACACAGAAGAAACCTGTCTAGGAAACATTGAAATACCTAAAAATAAACAACTGTGGAAGAAACATTGAAATACCAAAAAAACCTGTGGAGGAAACATTGCAATACAAAAAAAAACAAAAAACTGTGGAGGAAACATTGAAATGCCAACACAGAAGAAACCTGTGGAGGAAACATTGAGACACACAAAAATAAAAACCTGTGGAGGAAACACTGGAATACCCACACAAAAAACTGGAGGAAACATTGGAACACCAACACTCACAAAAACCTGTGGAGGAAACATTGGAATACCAACACACACAAAAACCTGTGGAGGAAACATTAAAATACAAAAAAAACCTGTGGAGGAAATATTGGAATACCCAAAAAAAAAAAATGTGGAGGAAACATTGGAATACCAACACAGAAAAGACCTGTCGAGGAAACATTGAAATACCAAAAAACCTGTGGAGGAAACATTGTAATACCAACACAAAAAAAAAACCTGTTGAGGAAACATTGAAATACCCACACACACACAAAACCTGTGGAGGAATCATTCATCAGTTCTCGTTATGCCTAGTGGCACATGAGGCTTCAGAGAGGACTTTCCATGCTTTCCTGTCCTGTGCAATCTTCAGTGCAGTTTTCCATGTCAAAGATGCGGAACTCAGGTCACTTTCCATCGTTCGTCTCCATGTTTTTTTTGGGCGCCCCTATTTTCTCTTTTCCTCTGGTGACCATGTGAGAGCTGTTTTGGCAGGTATATCAGGATTCATTCTCATAACGTGGCCAAGCCATTTCCATCTTCTCTTGGTTATCATACTGTCTAAAATAAAAATAAAAACCTGTGAAGGAAACATTGGAATACCCCAAAAAAAAAAAAACTGGAGGAAACATTGGAATACCAACACAGAAAAAAACCTGTTGAGGAAACATTGAAATACCCACATACACACAAAACCTGTGGAGCAAATACCAAAAAAAAAAAAAGAAACTGGAGGAAACGTTGAAGTGTCTAAAACAACAGGATTACACAGTACCAGCCTAGGCCTTTTTCAAGCTTTTCTTACAGGAGCTGGGTTGAATGTGAATCTGATGACATCCTGATATGGCTGTCTGCCGAAATGATGTTCCAGTACCTAGCCTTCAACACCCTGCTGATTTTTGAGTTTGGAGAAAGAAACGGTAGCTTTTCAACCTCTGCATCTGTTACTGGACTGGAAGAAGAGCAGTTTGGCCATCTAATTCAGTTGTTCACAGACAGGATAGCACAATGAACAGTGCTGTAGACCCAGTTGAAATAAAAAGAGAGTCTAACCTTATAATTGATGAACAGAGAATAACAAAATCCCTAAGAATTACCACATATCTTTTTCTTCTTCTGCATTCTGACCTTTTGAGGGTAATTGCTGCAGGCATCCCTGCCTTTATTCATCTCTGTGATTGGTCTTCTCTTTCCATTTGATGACTCCAAATGCTTGTAGGTCTGCCTGTATATTATCTCCCCACTGTTTTATTGGTCGGCCTTATGGTCTACTCCCATTCAGCTATTTTGTGTATGTAGTTTTTGTCTGCTATACCATTCAGTGCATATACCACAAGAGGAGAGGGACGTAGAGCAATAGGTAGACCAAGAACAATATGGAATGATAACATCAGAGAAACTCTACAGTACCACGATGTGTCTTTAGTCGAAGCAGCCAGAAAAGCACGAAGCAGGACCTTTTATCTCCCTCAACACCCAAAGCGGTAAAAGAGGACATAAAGAAGAAGAAGTTTTTTCCTTATCTGTTATTTGCTGTTCTCTCTCTATGCCAACTATTGGGGTCTTTTAGCCTTCACGATGCCAGTAATTAGTGATGATTTAAACAGATAATGAATGTGGTTCTTGTTTCTTCTCAGTCTACATTATCTGCTGTTTGCATCTCTGATGAATCGCAATATATACAGGACACAAATTGGCACTATCCTGCTGTTGAAACTTCACCTTGACAAGGCAAGAGGAACAAGATGAGATGAAAATGTTAAACGTAGAACGTCAAATGTCATTCTGTTACACAGCCAGGATATCACTTTATACTTAATTTCTTCTTCTTCTTCTTAAAGTCCATGTTGTGTGACATTGATAGTCATGTCTATCCACAACCGTCTGTCTCGTGAACTTTCAGTCAACTCTTGACACAGATGATCCTCCATGCTATGATGTCAAACTGTCCAGCATCTGTTCTCTCGGTCTTCCTCTGCCTCTCCTCCAACTTTCCTACTGTCACAATGTACTCCAGTTTTCTCATTCTCATCACAGGACCAAAGAATGTAGATTGTCTCTCTCTGAGGTGGGCAATCAGTTCTCTTTATGCGTCAGTTTATTTAAAGACGTCTTCATTGCTCTTTTTATCTGTCCAGGGTATTCTCATCATTCATCTGTAAAATCATGTCTCAAATTCATGATTTATACTTAACAGTGAGACATAATTGTCCACCTGACATACAAATGTGATACCAGTAATTTTTTTCTTCAAGTCTCATGCTGTGGTGAAACCCAGATATCCTTTATACTTGCCCCCTCCCCCCCCCCCCCAACAGCTGTGTTCTAAAAGTAAACTTATTAGGGATGTTTTCCTTCTAAGTCAGAGTGCATCTGCCTGAGAGGCGAGGCACCAGTAGTCTGCTTAAAAATAAGTCACATCTGTAAAATGGATGTGCATACAAAACTTATGTTCTGGAACAAGACCAAAGCCTGGAAAGGGAACAAACAGGCATAACCTCTCACCGGGGTTTATAGCTGGTGAACACGAAGAAGAAGAAGAAGACTTAACAGTGAAAAAATACTTGTCCCTTTTACTTGTTTGAAACCACTGATTTGTTTCCCAATTTCCAGGCGCCAGATTGGCAGAGGAAGCACGGATGCTTCCAACAACACATATGGCTCCAGTGCTTGGGGTTCCTCTTCGAAAGCTGCTAGCACCATCAAGGACAAAGAGCGGAGGTCAACATCTCGGAGTTCTTTTGTCAGTGTGACCGATGTCAGTTCTGATGATGACGGAGATTGGTGACAACAAAGATAGGGGAAAACTGATGAAATAATGATGATAGAATGGATGTACTGACGATGATGATGTTATAATTTGATGATCTGATGTTAATACCATGTGATGTTCTGATAATGAAAAATGTGATGAATATATGAACCCATTGAAATTCATTTTAATTATGACACTAATGCAAATACAAAATATACTTACTATTGAAAAACAGAGGCAGAATTTGCTACACTCTTTAAACTTAAGAAAAGGTCTTAAAATTTTGATTCTTTTTATAATGAGTTTACAAACTTGTTGAAATAATTACCTCTTATGTGATGTTGAAGAAACATCTAAGACATGTATGACAAACAGATAGAAGATTAAACCATCAACACAGATCATGAAAAATTTAGGAGAGCAAATCTGTTAACTGTTTTTGTGATTATAGAAAATACATACTGACATTAATCAGTTGTACTTTTTTTTGACAGTGTGTTGTAAAGAAGACCTGTACAATCCCTAAACAGAGTTTCATGAAGGCTGAACTCTGCAGCTCCCCAAGCCGTTGACACTACTTACCATGCATGTAATGCTAGAGCCACTGAGCCCACA